TAAAGTTGCTGTCATTACTTCTTTTTGGATCACCCTGTACACATGATATTATCATCTAAAAAATGGCCACTAAAATCAAAAGTCGACGTCTCCGAGGTTTTTTGAAAAAATCAGCCCTGTATTTTTTATGGATTTTATTCCAACCTTTACGTGCTCACTGTATGTATATTACGTATACCTAATACAGTGTCCCCCATAATGTTCGCTACATATGGGGAAATTTTCTATTTGTAGGATATGGAATGTTTTCTCATGTGCGACCGATCCTGCATGTCCGATAACCTAAAAGTACATTTTGACATTGATCACTGTTGTGTTGTGGCAACAAAATTGAAAATTTAGATATTAGCTTATCCAAAACACGTGACTCTGACAAGCAAACAAAGGGTTTGTGTGCCTCTTGGCGGACATTTTTATTTAAGTTTGACAGCATCTTGGATATTCTAATGGAAACGCGAAAACTGGGGTTAAATGGCAAAATTTCGGAAAGTTATTTGAAAAAAGTGATTAGAACAATGTTTTACGGCTGCTTGCGAAATTTGGAGGAAAAGCAACAAAAAACAGGAAATTACTTCCTTATCAAATAATATTATACAGTTTTTATAATGGGCTCTTTCACTAAAATTTAAATACGAAATTTAAGTATAAAATCCCAAAGGAGGGACTATTTTAGGCATATATACCAAAAAAAAATGTTCTACAAGGTTAAATAAGTTTTTTACAGGCATTCGAAAATGGCCAAATTCAAACTAATTTTAATCGCGCCGAATCGCTGACGTCACATAAATATTTTCCATTTCGCTTATGTTGTTGCAAGGAACTGACCGGCTCGGCTGTGTGGCGCTCTGTAAAAGCACAGCAAGTATACGTAGAGGTTCGAATGCGCTGTTGTCGGTTGTGACTGAATGTAGTGTAACGTAAAAAAAATAAATAAAACTAAACATAAAAAATTGTATTAAATTGTATTTAAGCATAATTTCAAAAAAAAAATTATAAAATCTTGAATCCATAACTAATTAATTGAACTACTTTTCATGATATTTTTCCAACATTTCAGAATTAAATCTATTACAAATTTTCAATGTTGACAATTGGTGGCAACACGGTCAAATTGTGAGCTGCGACGTCATAGAAATAAATTCTGGGTTTTTATTTGGAGGTATTTCTTATTTTTCTGTTTTCTCAAGAAGGACTATGAATTTTTCAAAAGTAAAAATACAGAAAATTCTGTTTTTAGTTGCTTTATCCAAATATGCCAATTTCAAAAATTAGTGAAAGAGCCCATTGAAATAGTCCAAGTACCTCAATATTTAATGTGTTTTGGTAAAACAAACCTAAATTCTTCATTGGAATCATTCCTAGAGAATTAAATGAAAATATTCGATTAGCACGTGAAACTTTTCTGTAGCAATACTCCTTATCTTGACAGTTAAGTAAGGTGTTTTAGAACTGTAGTCAAATATTTGATAAAAAATGTCGATAACGGTTCTTTTTAATTCTTCTATCAACAGTGGGTTATTGGAAATCTCACAAACTGTCAAGATACAGGGTATTGCTACAGAAAAGTTTCATGTGCTAGTCGAATATCTTTATTTAATCTTCTAGGAATCATTCCAATGAATAATTTAGGTTTGTTTTACCAATACACATTAACTATTGAGGTACTTGGACTATTTCAGAAAAAAACTGTATAATATTATTTGATAAGAGATCCATGGCGGAAAACTTTCCACTTTTTTGTTACTTTTTCTTCAAATTTATTATTCGCAAACAGCCCTAAAACATCGTTTAAATAACTTTTTCCAAAATTTTGCCATCCAACCCAACTTTTCGCGTTTTCATATCTAAATTTTCGAATTTGCCGCCACAACAGGGATCACGTGACCAAGGTCAAAATGTACTTTTAGGTTATCGGACATGCAGGATTGATCGCACAATTCGCATATAAGAAAAAATTCCATATCCTAAAAATAAAACAGTAAACTTACTTTGAATGGAATTTTTCAATTACTATTTTACATCTGATGTAAGGACTAATTATTAACCTGACAAAGAATTAAAGAAATTCAAAAGCTTGTCAAAACGAAAAAATGTATTTTATTCTTTTAAGCCCAATTAAACTTGCCACAAATAACCCACTATAGTAAACTTTTATATTTAACTATACGGCAACGATACTCATTCTCAATATTATGTATAATGTATATTTTAGAAGCTCAGTTAATACAGAAAATAGACCCGCGTACCTCGGATAATTGCAATTTGGATAATCAGGGTTCTAGGTACTGTATTTATTTGGAGCTGATATGAGATCCAGTCAAAGTGAGATTTAAAAAAAATCATAATTCAATTCAAGTCCTTTTTGATAGTTTGTATTTCAACAAGGAATTTAGAGAAAATTTTAGAGTGGGTTAGATGATGAGAAACTTATCAACTGATAAATTGTTTTTTGACTATGATGTTCAAACATATTTCAGCTTTTTTGAACACACGCGGAAGGGGAAAGGTGATTTAATGAAACTTTTTTGACAGTTGTCACAGCCAATAAAATCTGGTTTTTTTCTGTCATGTGTCACAAATCACCCATTCGCATCAATGCTACACTAATAACTTCTCTAAGAGGAATGTTTTCAACTATCGATTTCTAAAAAAACAATCAGAAGTGTAAGTAATAAGGTTTAGTCCCTAGACAGTTTTCAGCCAACAGAAATACAGAAGTATGTACTGGCAATCGACAATGTTACAGCTATTATGGGAAATCTGGGACAATGATACAGGGACAATACTGCAAATAAAAATCCCCAGAAGGAAGGGACTGATAGCCTCAACTCTCTCTAGTATTTGTTCCCCCAAGCACACCTGCTTTCTATTATTTACATAATTACACAATCTGTCTCACTTCAATAAAAAAAAACTCGAAAAAAAAACCTACAAATTTCAACAATAGTTTAACACTTACCTTATCCACACAAAATACATACATTTTATTAAACACTTCCAATCTGTAAACTTTTCCTGTAGACACAAAGTATCTAAAATAATATTTATTAATAATTTTCCAACAAATTTTTAATATTTAAGTAATTAAATTTGGTTGAGTAACCTAATACAAACCTTTTATAGGCTTTTCTGTTGTTCGATAATCAAGCAACTTCCAAACTTGTTCTTCCAATAAACCATATTGTAATGGTTATGTAAAAATTCCAAAAAATGTCGAACCCTTCACATTGAATGCTCACCCAGGCCTGACATCATGCTCTTTATTTATTTAAGAGAGCCGATTCCTCGGGTTCGGGTGTTGGTGGGTGCTTTAAACACACCCAGTACAATTTTTGGGCAGTCTCTGTAATAACAATATAACTTGAGTATCTTTTATTTGGAGAAAATACACAACAGTACCGTTTCAGGATAAAATCAATTAGTTTCCGAAATAATGAGCTAAGTTTTTTTTTTACTCACTTATAATATCATAATTCATAAACACCCACTGTATAAGTATTGAGCCATATTATGATATACATTTTGTTTAGTTGTAAGATAAATTTTGTTCAAATAAACAAAATTTAGTCAATTTATGATAAATGAAAGACAAATTCACATATTTGTAATCAAATATAGATGTTTCCTATATCATTTTAAAGCATCTAGGTGAAAAATAAACACAATATTCTATCAAAAATTTACAATTCATCTAGGCCTAAATGTTCAAATAAAACTTAAGCATCAATTGTACTTAAACTTGTTCTTTTAATAATAGATTAACATATTGATTAAAAGAACAAGTTAATGTGTCAAGGTTTACCTAAGTTTTATGTGCATTCTAACTCTCACAATTTAAGGTCTCCTAGAATAATCAAAAAAGGGCAAATTTGAATGTCCATCAAGTTCCTAAAATTAACTGATTATTTACCAATAATCAACATTTGTTGATCAATCAATCGTTTTTCCATGCATCCAATAACGGAAAAATATCAGAGATTCAATATTATTATTTTTTTAATGCATAAGCCTGCGATTCTGTTTGAAATGGGCCTGTATTGAAAAAATGCAATATTAAACAAATTTGGATGATATCCAAAAAACATCAAAGAATATTTTTCTTAAAAAAATAAGTTGTGCTTCAGAAAAAATAAATGAAAATGACTTCATATTAAACTATTGATTTAATTTTTTTTTAAGTTGAGGGTAGGACTATCTAAATTTATGGATTTATTGAAACATATCACAGAATAATAAACAATCAGAAGGAATACAGAAAGAGTGATCCGATTTGCTTTTCTATGAACACGAACCGGGCTAACGGGGGAAATATTAGGGACACACACTGGTAAAACCCTCTTCCGCTGATAGTTAACGTCAAGAATACTGATAAAACTAACTGGTGACGCGCTACCACTGAACATCTTTCCGCCGTTGCCAAAAAGGCGCGGCTTCCTTTGTGAACATCGGATCTCTCTACCTGTGTTCCTTCTGATTGTTTGCGAATCTGTGCTAATATTATGCTTGGAACAATAGCGGGAAGCATAGGCGACCTGCTCATTGCTTCAAGTCAAAAAAAAAACAAAGACTTAGAATTAGAAGCTACAAATGTTTGGTACTTGCAGCCTTAAGTATTTAAATTCTGGGCACAGCCTTTTGAGAAGCATATCATTATAACTCTATTGATGTCTGACTTTACTTGAGTTACTTTCAAAAAGTCCAATAGTGTACCGATGAGTCTTGATTGCCATTCCCACCTTTTCTGGTGTGAAAAAAAGAAGGAAAAAAATGATGTTAAGTGAACTGGTTATTTGTGACTCTGACCACAGAAGCATATTGTCCCTCAATTTACTTATAAAAAAGCTGTGAGAAATTATAAGCATTCAGATAAACGACCATCTTACCAAATTAGATAATCTCACCCAAAACAGTATAAAAAAATATTGAATAATATAAAAAGTCATTTTCAACAATAAACCAAAAAAATAACTTAATGATACAGAAGAATAAATGATACTTACTTTCCAGAGTTGACTTGTCGAATATGAGTAAACACGTTAACGACGTCTCGCACCCTTCTGGGTGCTTCTTCAATTTTCGAAGCCAAAGAGACACAAGCCATCGCTGTATGCTCCACCAGGTGACGAACAAGGCTTTTCGAATAATAGAATCGTTGAAGCAGCACTTGTCCAGTCGCCATTGCTACCTACAAAAAAGGTGGCAAATTTCGATTAATAAAAGTCAGAAGAATTATTTAATTAGAAGAATAATTTAATTACAATTATGAAATATCTGGTTATTTATGAAGGGCCTTTCATTCCCAAACTTGCCACCCTAGTTATCTGCATAAAGAGAAAGATTTGTGAAAATTGCTGAAACATGTCAACAAAATTTGTCTCTTTATACAGAAAACGTGGGTGGCAGGTTTTGAAATGTATAATAAATACCCAGAGCAAATACCTGGGAAAGTAGCCGCAATTCATAAATACCTGGGTATTTATTTTATATAGAGACACAGTGTTAACAGTAAACAAATTTATTTGTGAATAATAGAGAAATAAACACTTAACCAAACAATGTGAGTATTCCTACCCTTTTCTACAATAGTATAGTTATAAAATGCAACCCATGTTCCTGTGAGACTAGATCAATCGTTTATTAAGTCCTTGTTAGTTAACAAAAACCTTAGATTGTTTCAATGTCAATATGATATTGTTTTTGTGTGGCACAATTCAAGGTTACTGATGGCTAACAAAAACTTAAACAATTGATCTAGCTGCACTAACGCTCACAAAAGATGCAGAATCTATGTTCCTAATTATCAGTAACATAAGTATAAGGGTCTGTATTTTATTGTCACCTTAAGGTACAGAACTCTGTACAGAATAACGTTCAGTCATATCTACTCAATACAAGTTCAACCATATAGCGAAGTTCCCTTAATTGATGAATCTTAAGCTTGAGATTCACTTGAAGGAACTTATTTCAAGTTTACCTCAATGTTAAGTCAGTCTTGATTTTAAGGTAAAATTGAAATACTGGCCCTAAATCTGTAAGTGCAGGGCTGGGAATCTATAATAGATAATTTTTTCTATCTCAATTAGTGTTCCCTCTCTATTAATTTCTAAAAGAGAAGGAAAGAGTAAGTGCCATAACGATGTCTATCCGTTACAGAGTCCCAAGGCTGGTTTGGTCGAAAATGTGAAATTACATAATATAAATTCAACCAGAGTACAGAGGTCACAGAATTAAACATCAAAACAGACAACAGGTGGTATTTGGTATTGACTCGGGTATTTAAGGTTTAAAGTCAGGCCTATTGTTTATTACAGCAACGCGAAATGTCAGTACTGTCGCCCTAACTTGATAGTCAAGAAAAAATAGAAATCTGCATTTGGTTAAATTGAGTGATGGAAAGTTTTTTCTTTTTTTTTGCCGAAATTCGAAGTATTATTCTGTTTTACATAAACAGGGTTGTAGTTTGGACCAACACAGATAATTTTGAACGTTCATCCGTCGGATTTATTTTTAAACAGTGTAGCTACAGGCGTATTTCCAACTATTCTTGCAATAGCGAGAAAACTACAAGTTCTAAAAATTTGAAAAAAATATATGTCGCGTAGAATTGCAATAGTAGTTCGTAATAAAAATTACGGGAAACTTCATCTCTTCGTTTTGAAATAAATGGTGAAAAACCACTTTTTTTCAGTTTTTGCGATATAACTTAAAAATGACGAGTCAAATTTGCTTAAAAAAATTATGGATTAAAGTATATCAATAACCATAAAACATATATTTTTTTTGGAATTTTTGAACACAAGGTTCAGAAAATGGGGGTTGACTTTAAACCTTAAGGAAAAAATTTAGGAACCACAGACTACACTTTATTTTTTTCCAAGATAGATTTTGGCATTGTCAACTTTGAAAAAAAAGTACACGATCTGACAGTTTGACACTATTGACAATCGCCTTGAGGTAAAACAAAGATATAATTTACAGTGTTTTTTAAGTTTTTAGTTATATTTTTTCAGATAAATACCTTTTGTGTGATCCAGAAGTTTCTTGGACATGCCTAGAGTTTCTTTAGTTATTAATTGTGGCAGTATAGCGCAAGGGATTGCATTGGTTTCCATCAATTTTAAATAACAATGGGAGGTTTGATTTGTTAGCTCAAGAGAGAAGAGAAAAATTGATTAATGATCTTAAAAGAGAAGATCTGACAGAAAAATAGATTGAATATAGAGTAATTCTCATCGAGTTTTCCTGATGAATTTCATCACCGCTGAGCAGTACGTCATCAAAATTCATCGCAATTTTGTTGATGAAATTAATCAACTAAAAAACACGTCGATGGATTTTGACACTTGAATTGATACTTTTGGCATTGATTTGTGTTGTTTGTTTGATGTGGCAAACTTATTATTTTTTTATTTGTTTAAAAAACCGTAGCCATACAATGATTGGAAGTCTAGTGTTAGTTGAGAATAATTGTGAGCTCTTCATCATCGTCAAGTGATGAGTCTAGAAGTTCTTCAGAAGAAATAGTTTTACTTGAATTGTAGAAAACATAAAAAAATACGAAATTATATTTCTTCTGTAGTTCTTTGCATAGTGATTTAGATGTTAAGTCTAATTTTAGACACTAGGACTGTAGTGGAGGTGAGATATTAGAAATAAAATTATCTCTGAGACAGTTAGCTGAGCTTTAAGACCTCACAAATTAGTTTGATTTGATATTTCAGATATATTTCTCACTTGTCACAAAGTTAGGTAATTTGGCGCTCTTATGCTCAGACCTCTTATGTTTGGTATGGTCTCGGTTTTCACACCCATCAGATCACTTGAACATGCCCTTTTTCCTTTTTTTTTTGTTAAGGTCTTCGCAAATCTTCACATAATAAATATAAATGCAAAACAAAATGATGCCAGTCGGCCATCAACAACTGTCAACATAATTTTGAGGTTACATTTTACGTTATAATTCATCAGTTCATCCTAAATGAACCTCGATGAATTCGATGGCTTATCGTACTTTCACCGATAAGTGTAGAATGAGAATAAAAACAGACCGATGAAATCCATCGATGTTTTACTGATGAGAATAAAAACAGCCAATTGACATTTTCGCTTAATCGATGAGCACAACGGTGAGAATAAAAACGCACGTTAACTATACTTATATATTTGTTCTTGTGACACTTGGTTTTGATATTTGTTGGAAAAAACCTGAATTTAATCCATTATAGAAAAACCTAGCAAACTTTTAGATGAAAGACCACATAGACTGGAACACAAGAACTCCGCTCTAACTTTTTTTAAACAAAATAACACCAAAACTTGTAAAAAAGCTGTGAAAACTGCATAAGCCATAACCGACCTAATCTAAACGAATGTAAATAAATGATTTGTTTTACCCAATGAACTATAACCAAAAACTGGAATGCTAACACATAAGGACGAACTTGAAGCCTAGTGCGGCTGCTGCGGAGGGGATACCTGTTTTTGTCGCACTCATTATGTTAAATGGCGAAAATTGCTTCCAACACGTATTCCAATTGATGAAACCTGTGAAGGGAAATATGACAAAACTTTCGAAAACGTCATTTGTCAGCGAGCAACAGAAAAAAACAACATTCCCCCTTGTGGCATCTGTCTTTCATGGCTTCATTTTTTTGGCAGATATGGCAATGTGTGCGCATTCCAGTTTTTAGCTATAGTTCATTGGTTTAGATTCATCGGTGTAGATTAGACCGGTTATGTTTTATGCGGTTTTCACAGCTTTTTGCAAGTTTTTGTGTTATTTTGTTCTAAAAAAGTTAAAGTAAAGTGTTTATGTTCCAGTCTATGTGGTCTTTTATCCAGAAGTTTGCTAGGTTTTTCTATAATGGATTAAATTCAGGGTTTTTCCAACAAATATCAAAACCAAGTGTCACAAGAACAAATATATAAGTATAGTTACTCTATATTCAATCTATTTTTCTGTCAGATCTTCTCTTTTAAGAACATTAATCAATTTTTCTCTTCTCTCTTGAGCTAACAAATCAAACCTCCCATTGTTATTTAAAATTGATGGAAGCCTATGGAAGGATATTGTATCCCTTGTGCTATACTGCCACAATTAACAACTAAACAAACTCTAGGCATGTCCAAGAAACTTCTGGAGCACACAAAAGGTATTTAGGTATATTTATTTAAAAAAATCTAACTAAAAACTTAAAAAACACTGTAAACTATATCTTTGTTTTACCTCAAGGCGACTGTCAATAGTGTCAAACTGTCAGATCGTGTACTTGCCCTATTGTAAAACTGATGTCAACCTGCAGAAACACCTCATTTTGCCACCAATCAGGGTCAAACGTTATTGTTTATGTTTCAAAGTTTTCAATGTCAAAATCTATCTTGGGAAAATATAAAGTGTATGTAAAATATGACAGAATTCAGAATTGAAATCTGTCAGTTCTGTTCTGTGTTCTCCCTACAATTCAAATATCAGTATTTTTGTTTTATTATGTTTGCCTATTTTCCAGGGTAAAAATAATGAGGTTACACTAAAAGTTACACAACAAAAATCAGAAAACTGAAATATTTGGATCAATCAAAGAATGTTTATGCCAAATTCTAATTCTAGAGTAAGTTTTTTTTTCTATTCACAGACAAGTTTTAAAAAATCCACCAATCAGAGCACAGAGCTGACAGATTTGATATCTGAGGTTCTGTCATTGATGTCCTATTATGAGTCAACATTAAAATCACCAGCACTCAACATGTTGAGTCAAGTGTTGAGTGGTTAGTCAGCAGCTTTGTTAAAAACAGATGCTCATTTTCATCTGGCTGGCAAATCAAAAATGTTCTACCTTTTGTATTTCACTTGCTGGAACAAAGCCACTTACTAATCACTCAACAGGTCCATTCCAACATGTCAAAAAACCATCCTATACTTAAATAGTTTTGAAACCACTCGGTATACCCATTTCAGATTCTAGGCACAAATCTTTGGTTATGTCTGGTTTCTCAATAACGAGTCACCTCCGGGTTATTTTTAACTCCCAGGTACATGTGTCTAGTTGCCAGGGACCGACCGATACCGATATGGCATATCGGTATAACGGCCTTTTTCAGGTATATCGGTGTATCGGTATATCGGCCCTTCATTTGCCGATAACTTTAGACCGATACAAATCATATTTTAAAAGATCAGTAATCATCACTAAGGTTTTTTTGAAGCTTAAAAGAGCTAATAATTGTGGTTCGTACATATGGGAGTGACTAAGAAGAAAGTAAATATTAGAAATTGTTTTTCATAAATTTATTTTAAATTAATTAGGTATTTATATAAAAAAAAAACTTAACATTCTGCGTATCTAAACTCAAATTCAAAATTATTTATTTATTAAAAAAAAAAAAGAAAATAAACTTTCTGCTTATCTGAACTCGAACAAACAATATTAAAACTAGAAAAAAACAAATAAATAAAACATTCAAACTAAAGGAAAAGGTGCGAGAAAACAAATAAAACATTCAAACTAAAGGAAAAGGTGCGAGAATCAATATCGGCCTTATATCGGTATGGGCCTTCAATAAAGCCATATCGTATCGATATCGGCAATATCGGTAATTTGAAAAAAAAAAACCGTAGCGGTCGATCCCTGCTAGTTGCTACATTTACTTTGGAGTTATGCTTAACCCAGGGGTAATTTGCTATTGAGTAACCAGCCCTTTGCGCAGAATCGTGATGGTACATTGTACGTTTTTCTGCTATGTTGGAACAAAGCTAACATGTGCTGGTGAATGCGACCAATAACTTTGACTTTTAGAGAGTTTGTTGGAACAAAGCCGCTTACTAATCACTCAACATGTTGAGTGCTGCTCAACGCGACTAATAACGTTGTGTTTGACTTTGGGATTTTAATTGAAAAAATGATTTTTCCTACAGCCGTGCGGAAAAATCGATTTTCCGCACTGATATGTGTGCGGAAAATGAGTTTTCCCGCACGGTGCGGTAAAACTTTTTTTTTTGACATATCAGCGCACAGCTGTCAGTGCGGAAAAAATTTTACCGCACTGATATGTCAAAAAAAAAAAGAAAAATTTTACATTTTTTCGCCTGTAGGAAAAATATTGTACCTAACACTTGCAGAAAATATTTTTCCGCACTCGGCTGCATCACCGAACGGCAGCCGCGTGCGGAAAAATTCATTTTCCGCACTTGTTAGGTAAATAGCTATTTTTTAAGCAATTTCCATGGTGATAAAGTTCGAGTGACTGGAGAAAAAAATAGATGAATAGGGTTTTTTGAATGGATTCCATAAGGAGTTCCATAATTTAAAAAAATCTAGGCTTTTAGAATGCCAAAACTGTTTCGGATAACAAATTCTATTACTGAAAATCTTGTATAGTAAGATATAACATTTGCTTATAGAGGTGGTTCTAGTTAGCCACGATTTCAATAGCAAAAGTGGACTATTATCCGTCCACAATCTGATGTCCACAGGTACAGGTAAAACTTATCACTTTTCAATGCTATTTGATAGGGAAAGGTGATAAATTTTACCTGTACCTGTGGACATCGGATTGTGAATAGGATATAAGCTAATAAGCTATGCTAAGACCCAAGACTCTGGACCGTGCAGGATTCCTTAATTCCCAGTTATCAGTGAACTTGAACTGAGACTTATCTCAATTTTTGATGAGCACAACTGAGAGTTTCTGTCCCAATATAGACTACACAGACCTCGACACAGACTCTGGTTCGTGGAAAACCAAAATCTATAAGATTTAAGACTTGAAGAATTACAGAATTTTCTGGGATTCAACTATCAAATTTCTAGTAAGAAATATTTGGCCCATTCAAAATTATCAAAGTATCGCAGACAAACCTTGGAAAAAAATAGAACAAAGAATGGCAGTTTAAATTAGGAAAAATTATGTTTACGAAAAAGTGGGTTATTTGCTTCTGCTCATTAATTTTGACACTTTAGAGTGGACTTTTAAGATCAGCACGATTTCATCAGTAAATTAAATATTCAAATCAAATAAACTGTATTTTCAAGTGCAAAGTTCCTCATGAATGAATCACATCAACAGGTCATGCGGCTGCGACAAGTTCAAAGCCTCATGCCCGAGCCATATAATCGTTTTTCTCTAAAATTTCAACAAAATTAGGAAACACAAGACTTACTTGAGGCAATTTAAGTAAAATCCCCGCAGTCTGGATGAGCTCACATCCGTAAATTCGTAAATCCGTTTCAGCTTCGATTCCTAGGCCATCAGCTTGGGACGGCGTGTTTGTCAAATTTTCCTCGGGCAGCAATTGATTCGTCAACGTTAAAAGCACCTGCCCGTAAAGCTTTGCATTGTTTATTAACGGAATCGGTTCTTTTTTTTCGTCTTTCGAGCCCATTTTTACGAAAAATTTGATATTTTTCGCAAATTCACCACTAAAACAACCTACTCACAACACTACACGCCACAACAAAATGGAGGACGACGGACGACGTTCATTTATCGTTTATGAGTTGTCTCTTTCTTGACTTTTGTCACTATTGACTTATGACAGAAAAATATCGATACTGGAGCTGCGTTCGATAACCAGTAGTGAAGTGCTCTGTTCTCTTTCAGAAAATCGGAGTGTGAAAAATCGTTCGCTATTTGGCTGGCAGGTAGTCGTACTGAACCGCGTCCATCGAACAGTTTTTCTCGTCTACTTTTTTTCGCATTCTTAAAAAAAAAAACAAACACTATTCGAAACCCGCAATTTTATTAGAGCCAAAAAACAGGAAAAAAAAAAAACAATAAAACGTAAATAAAATATTTACAAGAGTTCTGTTCCAAACAACGGTCCCAGAAAGGTAATTTCCAGTCCTCCATTTGTCAAGTAATAGGAGGATAGACGTTCAACTTACTGTTCTGGAATAGTTCTAATGGCGGTTGGAACAGACTCCACTTACCTTGCGTTCGCTATTTTGCTCAAAGAGCAGAGCGTACTGAGCGGAGCCGTAATCACGTGGTCAGCGAGCGAACAGAACAGTTGAACGCTGTATCAGCGTGCCCGAAATTTTAATAAATGAACGCGAATGAGCCTGCACCGAATATACTTTCCAAATAAACGAATGGTAAATTCAAGTTCGGAGAACTCAAATCAAAATACCGGACGCACGGTTAATAGGATTGCTCAATTGGCTCAACCCAACGTATTCACGTTCGCCCAGTTCTCGAATTGTCAGCGGCTTGCGGGTGACGTCACCACTATTAGCAGTTGATAGTGGGGATGTCACCCGCAGACCTCGATGGATTGTTTGCGATTCAGGCTGTGCTCGTAATAGGATGGCCGTGTTTGGGAAGCACGCTATTTGCGCCATCTGGAACAACACTCTGTTCGCGGAGCATAATTCATGCCATATTTTTTTTTTATTGCTATTTTTGATTTGTGTTAACGTCTGTAAAGTAGTAAAGTGTTGATTTTTTGGAAAATGCATACTTTATGTATTGTACTTAGTTACGGGAGCAGTTCTAATCGCGAGAAAGTCTCGTTTTATGCCATTCCTACAGACAAAACACAGGTTTTTTAACGGAGAAAAACGATTTGTCTGTATATACTTGTAGGGCTTCGTGAGCTGAGTTCGGCTTTACACTCGGTAAACTCCGAACGCGATTAAAACGATTAAATCCTGTGTTCGTTTTAGCTCTCAGAATGTTCTCTTTCATGTTCGGCTTATGAACGCGTATGACGTCACGATATCCATGCTCATACGTTCCGCTCCATAGAGTGCGAAGCCGAACTCAGCCATGTATTGTAGCAGAAGAGAAAAAATCTGACGAAATCCATATTAAAAAACCAAAAAGTCTCTCCACATAAACGGTGTATAGATCCAAGCCATTTACTAACTTGTGCCGATACCTTGAATAGCAGCCAAATAAAATAAACACTAGGATTCAGGATTTGGTTAAGAAGAAACTAAACAGGAAACAAGACCTGGATAGTACCTACCTAATTGTTTAGTAGGAGAAGATGTGTCACAAAGAAATCATACCCTTTGCCAATACCTACCTAATCCGAATAGTCATCATCCGGATTTTCCACTAAAAACTTCTTAAAATAAAAACTCTCCATCTTGAAATACGAACATCATCCTTCCAAACACTAAAAAATCACCTTGAAACAACACAAAATAGTAATACACAATAAACAGTGTTTTCAATAAAAAAATGTCACTGCTTGTCACTGCATCGGCCGCCATTTTGATTGGATTGCCCTATTTGCGCCATATAGCCAAGGATGATACACACTTCTACTACAGGTTAGCCCGCCTTCCCCCTAAGCCAAATCGCCAGTTGTAACGTAGGCACCATCTTATTTTTCATCTTGACGTAGGCTGTTTAAACAGCAGGGGCGAGTTCAGGAATGACACACTCAGTGTGAGTGTGACACCGGAGCGACGCACTAGCCGTTCATAAATGCTATAGGGACACCGAGTGCGCGCACTCTGTGCCGTTCAGAAAGTACTTTGGGCGCGCTCCAGGTGTCGCACCGGTCACACCATAATTTTTTGGTGTGGCTGCGGTGTGATTGTGTCTTTATGTCAACAATGTCAACCATTCCTCCCATAATCTTAATAATCCCACCAAATATAAACAAAACACTAATAAGAATTAAAGTTTTTCCTTCAAATTAAAAAAATTAACAACAAAAAAAAGTAATCCAATAGATTTTGTGAAATTTTTGAGATGCTCGATTGGTCATACCAAGCGTTCAGAAATTCATACGAAAGTTGTCGCCTAAAGCTGGATTTATACAGGAAATAAAATAAAATACAATAAGAAATAACATAACAAATAAGCAAAATAAGAAATAAGGCGTTTATACAGAAAAATATAAAATAAAATTAGAATTATTTTGAGCCAATCACCACGCGCCTGAACTATCATCGGTCTAATCTATCGACGTCGTGACATGCGCAAATAGCATTTTCATATAAAATAAATAAGAAGTTAAAAGTTAACCAACTTTTTATTTTTGCTTATTTGTTATTTTATTTTATTTTTGTGTATAAACGCCACCATGGTTTCTCATAAGGCCATCTTTTAATTTTATTTTATTTCTTATTTTATGTTATTTTATTTCCTGTATAAACCCAGCTTAAGAATTGTTATTTCAGTCACACCCATAAAATCGCACTCACACCCGGTGTGCTATTTCTGAACTCGCCCCTGGCTGCGTTCAGGAATGACTACAGCCAAGTCAAAATTGGCATTTTGCGTTCGATTTCGGCTCCAACCTACGTGGTTCGGTATTACAGGTGGAGGGGGAAAAGTAGGTTTTGGCATTAGCATTGCCGTCCTTGAACGCAACCCCTGACGACTTAGTTATGAGGTCGGAAATGGTGACACACCAATATGGCGGCGATTACCGAAAACGAGGCCGATGAGCAAACCCGTAAATGTGTATCATCCTTGCCATCTAGCCTCCGTGAACAGTATATTGGGCAATCCAACGGAGGATAATAAACTCTACTACTACAGGATAGCCTATCCTCATGAGGCCTGTGTGGAACAAATCTGGAGCCCCCCACCACGCCAAATCACCAATTGTGACGTAAGCAGCATGTCCTTTCTCGCCTTGGCGTAGGCTGTTTGCATCACAGGTTATGTATGATTTAGGGATGCGCAAAATTTTGAAAACATCGATGTTGACATCAAATGATACATCGAATATCCACAATCGATGTTGTAAAAACATCGGCTTGAAAATATCGATGTTTCTAAACATCGATGTTTTTGAAAATATGGTAAGAAAAAATTAAACTGTTAATAAGAAGAATATGATTTTTACTTAACCTACTTATGTATTTTTAATTTAGTATACATACATGCACTAAATATACGATTTTTAATGAAGAAAAAGTACATTTGAAAGCAAACAATAGCAAGAACTAAGCACTAGGGAGTAAATCTAGTTAGATACTCAACCTAAATGATATGAATACGAGTAACAATCATATTAGAATCACAATTATTATCCAAGAACAGCAATTTTGACTAATCTTTTTCCTTTTCCATATAATTCTTGTGTTGTGTCAAAATTTGTCCTTTTATTTGAAAATAGTCTCCCATTTGGAACCGAAGCTGCTACAAAAAAGTATTTTGAAGCTATTTTCGATAGTCGCAGATATACACTCTTTATTTCTTCCCAATGTTTAACAAATAGATTTTCATCAAATTTTGCTAAGGGACTGAAAGTACCTACTGGTGTAGTATTTTGAAGAAAACATCGAAAAAACATCGCAAAAAAATATCGATGTTCTCTAATAATATCGAATAAAAAAACATCGATATAAACATCGAACATCGAAATAAGAAAATCGATGTTTTTAAAACATCGATACATCGTGCGCATCCCTAGTATGATTCCGCGGGCTTTTGCTTTATGCATATAGTCCGTTGCATGGTTCTTGAGCTATGAATAGACAGAGGGAACAATGGGCTATTGCTGCGTTGTCATATCAATAATATTTATTATTACATGAAAATGAAGGAAATTTTATTGCAATTTTCATGTATTAATAAATATTATCGTTATGAAAACGCAGCAATAGCCCATTGTCCCCTCTGTCTATTCAATAGCCGTAGCTCAAGAACCATGCAACGGACTATACTTGGTTTTACAACATTATTTAACATTCTGAAACAATTCTTTTCTTAGATCTCGTTATCTTATCTTCCTCTTTGCCTATTATGTTAATCAGAATTAAATAATATTTTTCATCATAAATTAAAATTCTAAACTATTTGCCTTTCAGATATTAGGCTATTTTTCGCGAGAATAATCGAGCATAATCCTTATGCTGGATTATGTGATGTGTCAATTGTGGCATACTCCCCTAACTCCCCCACCATCAAATTCTGGGATACTCGAAGAGTTTTTTTGTGAAAAAAGACTGAAAATCACCTTTTCGATATTGAAAATCGACGAAAAAATTAACTCACTAGGTGCCGGTACTTTTGCTCTTATTTGACAGCCGACAAAAATAATCAGGGGTTTGAATGTGCTCTAACGAATGCTCTAACCACATTATACATATTATATAGATCTTGGCCCATGCAAACAATTGACGACGTATCAAATTCGTTAATTGAGAGCAAAAGTATCTGCCCTAGCACAGCCTGAATCGCAAGCACTCCATCGAGGTCTGCGGGTGACATCATCACTATAAGCTGCTGGTAGTAGCTTTGTTTTGGTTCGAAAAAAGGACGGTTCTAGAACGGTTCAAAACAATCGCACAGATTATCAGTCAACAAAATGACAACGGCTCAGCTATCACAAATTTCAATACACAATCGGTAAAGTCTCTTTTGGCGATTGTCACTGCTTACACTGACTAACTGTCCACACTAGTGTCCGCGCACTATTCTGGACCCTTGAAAAGTTAGTAATGTCAATTCTAAACGTTCAAGGGTTCCTTAAGGTCTCAAACAACTTAACTATTTACAACAATTAACAATCACTATCTAAAACGTATCACAGCCAAACTTAAACTTAAAACTACTAACTATAATACCGACCTTTATATATTCGCAATCCATTCATGTAGAATCCAGAATAAACGGGATAGAGTCTCTTCCCGAATGAATCAGTATTTTCTAGATTTAAGGTTGGATTTTCGACACCTTGGCGGAAGCGCCGTCACAATATAAACCATTATTCACTTTGAAGCCTGGTGATAACAAATAGTTGTCTTTATAAGATGCGAATTTACGACATCTTCATGGAACTCTCTATTTTGTATCCTAAAGAAATTACATATATAAAAACAACATCTTCTTTGTTGGTCTGCAGACGTTCAGACATAATGCAGACCTGAACAAGACGTCTTTGTGTGCTGTCTCGGTCAGAGTTGAATTTTTGTCTCGGGACAGTTAGTTTAGCTTCTAGAATCGAATCTTGTTTAAAGGAAATTTAAAACGGTTGAACTACATTAGGTGCGTGCTCTACGTAATCGAAAGCTTTATTTTATTATAATAATTTAGTGAAAGTGAGGAAAAATTGTAAGAACCTACATCTTGAGAAATTGACTTTGGTATTCACCCGTTTATTCCAATGACTATGATGCAAAGTTAAATGACTATAAAAGACAGATGAGTTCAACAAATATTTTTATTAGAAAACTTGCATATAATAAATAAAAAGGAATCCAAACATGTCTATCTAGAAAAAGTACTACGCCACTACGGACTCTATATCTACTTTCTTGGATCATCAAATCAAGGAGCGCAGCCCCTAAGAAAACCTTCGCCTGATTGATAAGAATATTGGTAGGAATTTGCTTTATTCTCAATCTTGATATGCTGCCAAACGCCATATCTAAGGTCACGAAACTGTTTAAAATTAAATTCTTCGTGTTATCAAATACGTTTATTCGATTAATTGACATATATTTGCTGAATTAGGAAATTAAAATACTAACTATAGTGACAACACCGAGCCTGCTTGGGAAAATAACACACTGTACATGATTTCAATAATGAGTTTATTACGAATCGACAAAACACAGGACATAATTAACCTGGTTAATTATGATGAGATAAGCAATAAACGGATATAAATTGCACCGCGAGCCGCAGCAAAGGCAGATTTGAACCAGAGCAATTTCCTCTCGTTGGGAAAGCCCCTCTAGAATTAGGTCTCCCCAGTGCAAGTACCTCTCGTTGGGACTCTAGGTATCTTCAGCCTTATCGTTATCCAGCGCCAGCGTTGGGAAAGCTCCTCTGGACAAGGCATAAGAGTGACGATAACTAACCTACAGTCCCCCAAGCAGCTTTGACGTGTGGCTCCCTATGAGGACCCCAGTGTTGGAAGGGTCATGCATCCTATAGGACTAGCATATATGTAAGGGCATATTTGGGAAAATATATATCTACACTTTTATACAACTTGAGCGAGTTTCTCTCCATCAACCCTAGGGTGACCATATTTTTTTTGTATGAATGCTGTACACATTTAAAATTTTGGGAAAGGTGAGTGGAGGAAGAAAAAAAAGACACAGTACCGAAACTAACGCCAAAGTCACAAAGTGCAACCTGGGCTGGGATCACGACAAGTAGAATTCTACTAGAATTTTACTTTCATGACGTTAGGTTGCATAGCAACCCTCATCATCGCCTGTAGTGTACGCGATAAATAGGTTGTGGGTGACGTCATGAAAGTAGGGCTGGGATCACGACAAGTAGAATACTACTTTCATGACGTCACCCGCGACCCATTTATTGCGTACATACAGGCCATCATGACGGCTACTAGACAATTTGACATCACGAAAGTAGAATTCTAGTACAATTCTACTTGTCGTGATACCTGAGTCCGAATGGGCGCGTTCTTTTATTCAGCAATGCATCCATCTGCTGCCATCATAATAAGACAGACATTCCTATTTTCTATGAGCTAGACAAAGAAAGGCTGATTACTGATGGATCCACCGCTGAATAAAAGAAAGCGCCCTGTCTCAGCCCAGGGCTGGAATCACGATCAATGACAGGCAATGTGGCCACCTGCCAGACCAAACAAAATCGGAGTAGAACTTTGAGAGATGAAGGTGGAAGGCGTTTAGCCACATGTTTGTGAATGTATCCTGAACCGCTAATGCTTTGTCTGTTTTCTAGAGTTTTCAGCGGTGTAGAATAGAAAGGGATAAAAAAGGTAGTGAACAATAAAAAGAGTGAAGCGTAGTACTCAACACCGCGAAATTCACTCTTTTTTGACATTGCTTCGACAATTTGACGTTTGATTCACGCATAAAACGTCAAATTGTCCAAGTAATTTCAAAAAAGAGCGAATTTTGCTGTTATGAGTACTAGGCTTGATACTCTGGATGATCGCGTAAATGACGTAAATCGCAAATGTAGAGATGCGGCGTTAGCATAGACTTTCGCTGTACGTTTGCTGTACAAAATCAAATGCTGGACAGACTTTCAAAATGCTGTATAATACAGCGAAATGCTGTACGTATGGTCACCCTAATCAACCCCCAAAGCGACCAAATAAAATAAAACAAAGATTTTTATTATTATTTTTTTAATGATTGCTATTCCAGTAAATAGAATTAATACATTGTCACACATACAATTTTTCATACATCAAATTTTTTGGTTAAAAATAATTGCAACGTAATTTCTCTAAAAATTTCACAATATTTTTTTAAATGTCTATCTTATAAATTAATAATTATTTAAATTTTTTTTTCTTCAAAAAATTTGTTACGAATAATGCCTCCGAATTTCACAGTTTACGTTTTCCGAATTTCACAATTTTTAATTTAGTTAATTATTTGCAAAAATAAATTAACCTTCAGTGCCACCACCATAAAGGCTCCCTAATTATACAGACCTAAACGTTAATTTCTTTTATACAAAAATTTACAAAGATTTTTTTACCAAATACATATTATTTTGTACATTTTTATGATAACTTTTTGTATTATTTTTATCGGTGACGTGACACTGAGGAACATTTTTGCTCGAATTTTTACAAAAATTTACAAGAACGAAACACGCATACATTCAGTCTTACATTCGAAAAAAAAAAAAAAAATTGCTCTACAGTTTATAGTAAAAACATAGGAACTTAATTAAAAAAGCAAAAATGTAATTATTATATAAATTAAAAAAAATGGCAGTCAAATTCAAAAAAAAATTCATAAAAATGGCAAAAGAAACTTCATTATTATAATAATTATAGCAAGTAAAAAAAATATTAATCTTACACAATAATATAGTTTTTTTTTTGTTTAAAATCCCTATAATCTAGATGAAACTTCAAAACAGAACTTTTGCTCGTCTAATATATAGTTTTTCGAATTTCTGTTTTGAAATTTATTGTTTTTTTTTTATTGTTCATCAACCTTAAACGTAAATATTAATAAAAATATATAAAAGTTTATAAGTAATAATATAATTTCTTAAAATTAATTTTTTAAACATTATACATAGATTTTAACGTATACAAAAAAAAAAGAAAACAATAAATACAAAAATCTATAACTGTAGAACATTTTATTTTAAAAAATAATTATTAAAAAACAAGATGTTTTATGAAAATATTTTTAAATATATTTATTGTAGATATTATTATGTCCTGTTTTTTTTTTTTTTTTGAGGAAAATTATTTAAAAATATTTTTATAAAACCCTTAAATAGGAAAATTATATACTAAAAAAATAAAGATGGCATTTCATATTTTTATTATTTTATTTTAGGCGCATTAAAGCATGGTTATAAACCTAACCAAAAGAAATAAATACACCTTTAAAAATGCTTACAATGTTTACACGGTATTAGAGATTAGAGAATATCATTTAAAAAAAAACCCAACTCTTGAAAACCAAAAAAAAAAAATACCTTTAACAACTTGTTTCTAATTTGTTTCAATTTTGATAAAGTTATTGCACATGGAGGTTAACAAAACAATCAAAAATAATAAATTTAAAAGTTCTTCAAAAGTTTAATTTATAGTTAAAATTGTTAAACATAATTTTTTTTTTGGCCAAAACTTATCTCAACGTTTTTAATTGTATTTATGGATATTTCGCCATATAGTTATTACAATTAAATTAATATTTAAAAAACAAATATGACGCCTCGTAACTATTTTAATCTATTTGTAATGAGAACATTGTTAACAACATATAGCCTAAGTTTTACAATTATCTATAGTTTATTTATGTGCGGTATAATAGGTAAGTTATTTATTATTATGGCAAAAAATTGATGACGAAATATCTATACACTTTTGTTTTATTTGTTTAATATTTTATTACATGACTTTGTGTTTGTTTTTGAATATGAAATTCGACGTTTTAAATTAATATTAGTCGATACTTTATTTCGGGATAAGCAATTGAATGAAGAGTTTTTGAGACAATCTATTTTTCCAAAAGTAAAATTTTTACTTTTTTTTGGGTTATAAAATCGGGCAATTTTTTTATTTAAGAAATTGTCTCAAAAATTATTCACGAAATGTTATCCTTTAGTAGTTGTGGCTGGTGATTTTTATTTTGGAATTTGTTTCGATTCGTTCTTTCTCTTCCTACTTTTGGCTCAGTTGTATCTGGTACTCCCTTCGTATTTTTGTTTTTTTTTTTTAAATTGCTTCCATGACAGGTTTTTTTGGGTTCTCATAAAATTATTTAGGCTCAGGACCAAACCTCTGCAATGCGTATTAAGAAAGGTAGGAAAATAAATTTTAAAATTCATTGCCATATGCATCGTTTTTTCGATATATTCTTTAGCTAGAAGGTTTTTTTTTTTAATTTGCTGTCTTCATGATAGTTATTGGTCCTTAAAATGTGAGTGAGCCTATTGTTTAGAACATAATCCAACCTTCTTGTATTCAGTACAATAAATTTGTGCTTATAAAAGCCTCTCGCGGGAAAGTTTTGGGGTAGTTTTGATTTTCTCCATTTTTCATGTTTTTTGAGGTGCTAAATCCGAATTTGAGGTTTGCTAACAAAATTTCGTGACGCAACATTGAAAAAAATGCAAAAAAAGTGAAAAAAATTGTAGTTTTGGCAGTCTTTTGCGTATAACTCAAAAACTATCCATTTTTTGGAGAAAATACCTCTATTCAAAATGAAAGTAAATAAAATTTTCTATGAATTACATATGTTAGTTCTTTTGTTGGATGAACCGTTTGAGCTCAAGCGCTAGTTGAAAATGAATTTCACCTATTTTTAAAATAATAAACACGTTCGATTTAATTATTTTTTTCCGGCCTTCTTAAATAATTTTATACCTGCCCAACGGAAGGTAGACATTGACGGAAGCTCCTTGACTCGCAACCCCCGCCACAAGAAACAGTGGTCAACTGCCGGAGGGTTCGAAGGGATTAATTCCAAGTTAGAATACAATGATAATGACCGATTTATCAAGTTTGTTTACGCGTACTGTTGAAAATGCCCTGGAACATGTGTTTTATTATTGTGATGGATAATGATGAAGAGCAACGGTGCGGTAAAAAAGTTTGAATTTTTGAATACGTTTATTGTGTCAAGTAAGAAGACAGGGGCGCATATACGGGGGGTAATGGGGTTAATTACCCCCCCCCCATAAAACTAGAAAACTTTTAACCTAACCAAATTTTCAGTTTTTATACTGAAAATATAGAAAATATATTGCGAAAACAATTAAAGTACTACTAACGGCAGTAAGTTGTTTTTGTGCGATATTGCAGCAGCGCTTTTTTCCTTTGTCTTCTTCATCGACGTCAAATGTCTGTCACTCGGTTTCAATAGCGATTCACCTCTGAGTTAATTTTAACTCCAGGGTAAACCAGTCTTAGGGCCGGTTTCTCAATAGCAGGTTACCTCCGGGTTAAGCATAACTCTAAGGTAAACAAAGCAACTGGACAAGCTCACCCTGGAGTTGAAATTAATCCGGAGGAGACTCGTTATTGAGAAACCAGCCCTTATGTGTCCAGTTGCAATGGAGTTATGTTTAACCCAGTGGTGACTTGCTATTGAGAAACCGGCCCTTAGGGCCGAATTTATAGTTGCTTCTTTAGGTTTACTCAGACCTCAAGGAAGCATTGAACGTTTAGAATTGGCATGACTGACTTGTCACATAGTAGCAAGTGTCTATTTTAAACTCACGAACTTTGAAGGTTCCTGAAAAATACTTTTAGCCATCCTATTAACTTGAAATTAGATCTCATTGAGAACTACAAAAAAGCTCATAAGAGCTACCCCTCCACGGGGCACCGTTTTTGAGAAAATCGACTTCAAATCTTTCAATACATTTTCAGAGAAATTTCAAATTTGACGGCTTATATCTCGGAGACAGAAGCAACCTGGAATATCAATATAAAACAAATTTATAGGTAATTTAATGCTCTTCCAAAGGAAACCAGATTCGAGATAATCGGTTCGAAATCACCAAAGTTATAAGCGAAAAAGTGGCGCCGTGTCTGGTCTCCAAAATTTTCCAAGACAAAAATCTTTTTTATTTTTTTGCGGGCTTAGGAAGTGTGGGGGCAAAAAACGTTTAGAGACATTTTCGACGTATTTTTTGCTCCTCTATCCGATAAAAATTTTAATTTTTCAAAATTCGGAAAATTAAATGCAGAACGCGTATACCCCATTACATGCTCCCTCTTCAAAATTGGGGGAATAGGGGCTAAAACGTTTCCAGTAAGTCGTAGAGGGCTGAAACTTGAAATTTCAACTTTTTCAGACTCCTTTTACAATGGCCCTGTCAGCTACAATGGTCGATCAATTAGAGGATATCTTGTTTAACATGGACAAAGCAGTGATTCTTTCTAATGTTGTGAAAGGGATTGCGAAAGATCTGCAAGATGGATTCAAAAGTAATCTTCAATTTTTGGCGGAACGTGGCCCAACTACCAAGCTCTGGGTTGTATATTTCGAAATGGTGACGTTACCTCTGTTCCAACCCGACATGAGAACCGTTCTAGAACGGTAATTTCCAGTTGCCCAGCTATTTTTCAATAAGTGGACGTTAATCCTAATTGACAAATGCATTGATCGACGGGAAATTACCGTTCTAGAACGGTTCTTATGTCGCTTGGAACAGACCTTGATGAAACACTTTATTGAAGCAGGAAGAAGCAGCAACTGAAGGACGGAAAAAATGAATTAAATTGAACGCGTTTATTAATTTAAAACTAATAGGAATTCACCAAATGAGCTTTTAATACTAAATTATTAAGTTTTCGAATGAAAAAGGTGTATTTTTGAAGAGACGATAAAATACTACCATTTTCCACTAGCGCTTGAGCCTAAACGGTTCATCCTACAAAAGAACTAACAGATGCAATTCATAGAAAATTTTATTTAATTTCATTTTGAATAGAGGTGTTTTCTCCAAAAAATTGATAGTTTTCGAGTTATACGCAAAAGACTGCCAACAATTTTTTTCACTTTTTTTGCATTTTTTTCAATGTTGCGTCACGAAATTTTGTTAGCAAATCTCAGATTCGGATTCAGCACCCCAAAAAACATAAAGAATGGAAACATTTTTTTTTGGATCCAATCGACAATTGTCTCAATAATGGTCAAAAACTGTAAAAAATTGAGCCATTTTTAGATTAATTTATAGAAAACGCATTCCAAAATATTTTATCGAATAAGTATACTGATGAGCCACTACTGATTCCAATCTTTGAAATGTTCCAATTTCTCCTTAAAAAAACTACACACATTGCTTAACATGCAATTTTTTTTTGGCAAAATTGGAACAAACCACGTATATAGTCATGTAATGATTGAAAAAAATCGAAATAAACGTTGAAACAATTTTTTTCTTTAGGGTTTGGGGTTACTTGAGGGGGAGAGAATCAACACAACAATTCGGATTATAACAGATTAGCACAAGGAAAAACATAACAATTATTTCGCTAAACATTAAAAACTACATTTATTATTAAATATGTGGTTTTATATTTTAATTGTTTTTCTTTTGCTTGGTATGTTGAAACGCAATTATTATTCTTTTTTATTTAACCGCTGAATTTTTTGTTTCAAGTTTGAAATTGCAAGGCCGAAAAGTTTGTAGTTTTCCCAAAAGTGACGTTTTGTTTTATTTATTTATATAGAAAAGTCATCCTTGGGGATTTGTTAATGGATACTTTTTTAATTATTTCCAAATTGTTAATAATGATGAATTTTTTTGTATAAGAGTATTTTTAACAAATATCCCAAAGGATGACTGTCAAGGTTTAAAAGTGTTTAAATGTGTAAAATTTGGACTGAAAACTAAATAAAACACCCGCTAAATGTTTTGTAATTTAATAAAGTGTATTAGGACTCTATTAGGCCCTAATTATGATTAAAAATTATTTAAATTAATTATTGAATGTTCGTTAAATGTTTTATTTTTTTTTTACACAAGAGTGTTTATATATTTATATATTTTTTGTAATTATTTTACCCGAACGTGTGTATAATGTGTGTTGAAAGTGTTTTTTTTTTTAATTATGTAAAAATGTAATATATTTGATTTTATATATTATTGTAAAAAAATAATAAGGTAACTGTTGGTTTTTTTCCCGAAAAAATACACGAACCCTTGTTTTTGATCAGAACATGAAACTTCCGTTTTTTTGTTATTAGGTAACTCAAAAAATTAAAACAACAAGAATTTGAATATTTTTCCCAAAAAAAAATTAAAAAGTTACTAAATAACTCGAAACTTAGGTGTGGATTATCGAAATTTTTTTGTATAGGGCGATTTTCTCTCTTTTTTTTTGAAAAAAAGAAATCCCCGTTTGGACTATTGCTGTTTAACTAAAAATTTAATAGGAACCGACGTTGCCGCACTCGAATTATTTTCTAGATGGGATTTTTCAATAGTTTTTTTTGCCCTAGTTAAGCTATATATTATATTATGCTGGAGGAGGGAAATATCCTATGAGAGGGTGTCTTGCAACTATTTTTAAATTTTGAAATGTGCTATATCCGAAAATATTTCTAAATTTTACTCAAGACAACCATATGTAGGAATATTGGTAGATTAATTATTATTATTATTATTGAAAAGGAGTAAGCTGCACCATCTATGAGTATATGTATCTATTTTTTAGCTTTGCTGATAGTATTATGCTGAGATTTTATGATTAAACGATGCCATTATGTTCTATTATTATGCGGGGAAATCGATTATTATTATATACTTACTTGTTTTGATTTTATTTCAAATTTTAATAAATTGAACTCAGGGATTTATCGAAAATATTTTAAGTTCATTTTTGTAAATACTTAGCTGATAAAGCAGGAAAAATTTTGATCTTAATTTAATTAGTTTTTTTTTAGATGCAGCTAACGTTAATTTTATATGTTTCCTTTATTTTGGGTTGAAGAAGCCATTTTTGAAAATTGTATCAAAAGTTTAGCTGGACAAACATTAGCAGATTTTTCGTTATGGGCGGAGCTTGTGAAGGGTATCGCCGGAACATATAAAAATAGCCGTTTTCAGGCCAGAGTCAGTCAGTTTTCTTCAGGCAGTGATTGAGGCTTCATCTCGCCTGTCTGCCCCGTTCTCTACGCCAGAGACAAGAACAGCTCTCCCCTCATTTGTTCGTCAAAAGTGCTGTGACATGTACCCGGCACTTAGGAGCGCGTATTGGGCTGGCAACGCTTTGCTGTGGGTCACCTTGCCTTAGGGATCACTTTATGTGGCCCGTAGACGAACCTCTCAGAGCGTTGTTGGTGCAAGCTACCGTCATAGGTACGAAGCAAGAAACGAGAGAGCCAACGTTACAACCCTTCGGGCGCGAAATAATCTTCTGGAAAAGCCCAGTTTGTCGCAAGGAACCCCGCATTAATCCTCGCACTGGAGGTTGATGTCCTGGGGGAATACTATAGAGTAAATGTAGAGTTTGGAAATGTTTAGTGAAAATATAGTATCCTCCAAAGTATTAATTTATAGAGAAAAGTTAGATTAAGGACGAAGTGATGTGATGACAACTCAGCAACGTGGTGCAAAGTGAGAAACAGACATTACATTATTGGGGCAGACGCCAATGTCCATCACCAAGTAGGATGGGGAACTACCGATACAAACTTAAGGGGTAAGTATTTTTTTGTAGAATCCCCAAACCCACCAACTGGCCGTTATAATCAAGGGCAAACATGAAGGCGTAATAACAAGCCGAATGCGGAGTGCTCTAAACATCGTTAAAAGTTGGAGCGAAAGTGAGGGATTATACCTAAACCCAAGCAAAACAATTCTTGTCCCGTTCACAAGAAGAAGGAAGCTAAATTTGAAAGCCCCCACCCTTAACGATACACAACTGAAATTTTCCAACGAAGTGAAATATTTGGGGGTCACTCTGGATTAAACACTCACTTAGAGCAAATAGTTAGAGAAAACATGTTATAGAGCAATATCAACCATCTGGTCATGCAGCAAACTGGTCGGTAAAACATGGGGGCTAAAGCCAAAGATGGTATTCTGGAATCACCAAACCCATGGTCACACATGCCTCATTGGTATGGTGGCCCAAAACTCAGCAAGTCACCGCTCAGATCAAGCTAAACAAGGTTCAAAGGCTGGTATGCCTAGGAATAACGGGAGCAATGACGACGTGACCCACCGCAGCCCTAGAGACGCTGCTTAACATGCCCCCACTCCACCTATGTGTGAAAAAGGAGGCAATAATCAGCGCTCATAGGCTATTCGAAACAGACAAGTTCAAGCCTGGTGATCTGAGGAGACATCTGCGCATCTTTGAAATAATAAAACTGGAGAATGCCAGCACACCAAGCCACCACATGATTGTCAGATTGGACTTAGAGATCCCTTTCGTAGTGGTAATAACAAGCTCTGTGGTACACAGATGGATCCAAACTAACGGAAGGAGTTGGACTGAGCAATTCAGGCCCTAAGTTTAGGCTCTCCAAGACATTGGGCAAACATCTTACAATATTTCAAGCCGAACTGCTTGCTGTAAACATATTTACACAAGAGTATCTCAAAGGAAAATACATCTTTATACTATTAGATAGCTAAGCTGCCTTGAAAGCCTTAAGGGCTTTCAAATGCACCTCAAAACTAACTCTAAGAGTGTAAACAGACCCTAAAAACAGTAGCGACACACAACCAGATGACGCTGATGTGGCTGCCTGGTCATCGAAGCATAGAAGGAAACGAAGAAACAGATAGCCTCGCAAAAGAGGGGGCCTCCACACCATACTATGGACCAGAGCCCTATTGTGGTTTAATGAAAAGCCACATCATAGAAAAAGTCAACAAATTGAAGAAAGGCCAACTGTCATCACATTGGAGGCACACTCCGGGACTAAGACAGTCAAAAAGGTTTATCACCTTTCCAGTAGAAAGAGCTGAACAGCTCCTAAGCATGGGCAGACCAGACATCAGAATGGTCGTAGTAGAACTGCTCACAGGACACTACCTGGTTAAACACCACTTAAGGTTAAAGATGATCTCTGCAGATTCTGCTCAGACACGATAGAGACCGCAGAGCACCTGCTCTGCGAATGTCCAGCTCAATTCTGCAAGAGGCTCAAATTCCTCGAGGAGGCAACACTATCACCAGAAGAAGTGGGTCAACGGACACTAAGAAAAATAGCTGCCTTTGGCAGAAGTCTACGCTTCCTGGAGACAATTTAAGATGTAGAATCACATACAACATATCTGCAAAGGTAACAGTGCTGAGCGGCTGGAAAGCCGAAACGACTATCCCCACAATCTACAATCTACAAGGACGAAGTGGAATGAAACTGCCTTATTGACAAATTCGCCGACGTTTCGACCTTTTATTGAGGTCTTTATCAATGCTCTTTATAGAAGAAAAGTATCCAAGTCAAAAGGCTCAATAAGATACAATTCCATGATTCCGAATTTGTCCGGTTGTAATTATGGAATTGTATCTTGAGCCTTGCGACTGGGAAACTTTCGTTACATAAAGAGCCTTGATAAAGACCTGAATACAACGTCGAAACGTCGGCGAATTTATAAATGAGAAAGCTTCATTCCACTTCGTCCTTAACCCACAACTTCTGTCTACCATAAATTATTTATTTTATTAGTTTTTGGCTTTAGGCTTTTATTTGAAATTGAAGAAGTAGTCCATGACTCAAAGTGGAGTTGAAATTTAATTTTCAAAGAAAAACACCAAGTCTTTCTCCACAAATAAACTTTAATTATTTTATAGAGCCCCACATGTTTCGGAACTAGAGAGTTCCATCATCAGGGGCAAGTATCAGGGGCAACTTCTGGAAAAAATTATATGAAAAAGCATGTCAGACAATCAAAGTACGATCCTCTCGTTGAAAAATTAAATCACATTGAAGCTAACCCTCAATATGCGTTAGTTGGACTTTCAAATGGACGAGAAGCAACGGTTTCGCTAAAACCCTTAGCTCCATGTGGTGATGAAAGTCCACTGCAATTAGAAAATAATGGCTGATAACCATGTTAGTGAGACAATGAACCAGTCTCAATCTATTCACTGTGAGCCACAACTAGAAAACCAGATCCGTCGTGGATCAAGACGATTATGTTGAAAAATAAACCTGGGGAGAATGTGGTACTTTCGATATCTTCTGTATACAGTTTTTGTTATCACGGAAACGCAAACTTTCAAAGCGACACCTCGTTATCCAACACAAAGCGGATATTTTCGAGCAATTCACTGACATAAATTTCAAGTTAAAGTATACTGAAACTTCCGTAAGAAAACTTTACAGTATTTTCTATACTGTACAGCCAGCTATTTTAAGAGTTGTTCGACTTTGACAGTAACAGTGGGACCATATGTGAGGCTCCATTCACAGTATTCTTAAAATGAATATCAATGATTAGCACAGCACTGCATCCCTTTGCTCACAATTCTTAAGTCTACTACAGCCAATTTATGCCCTCAAAGGTCCAAAATCGAATGCGCTGCCAGAAACCGTACCTGACAATATTGCACAAACAATATTCTGAGTCTAATGTTCCTTTGAAACTTGTCCCGTACAAAATAGTTTCCAATGCAAATTGATATCGTTTGTAAATTTCTTAAATAATGCATTTAGGGAATGAGCTCGAAGGAAATTGTCGCCTTTAATAAAACATCAATACAAACAATAGTTGATGAGAATCTGAGCCAAGGCTAAATGTTCAAAAGTATCCACATCAAGAGTTGTGTCACTCTCAAGATAATTCGAAAACTTGCTTCTTGGAATAATAGTGCCTTGTCAAAATATTTCTCTGTTCGACCCCAAAATTGGTTATCCACATTTTCACGATTTGTTTTACCAATTGGAGGATGTCGAGGGAATTAAATTTAGGTACCTACCTGCTAAACTTTATTTAGTTGGCACTGATCCATGTTGAGAATGTAAGATTCATTTTTCTGGATTCTGAGAACAAAATTCTAAAGGGCTCGAGAGGCTTAACGATTGGGGTCAATGGGTTCATGGAGGGCTGACAGGACCCCCTTCCTACCAGAAGGGATGGAATACCAAAAACTTCAGCCCCCCCCCCCTAGACAATACAAGATCGTCATCCCTGCAAGGGACAACTGACAAAGGTTTCCTTAAGCCTGATACACAGACAGATCTCTGATGGGAGAGTGTACAGGAGCTGGCGTATATGGGGAGAAACCTGTGGTGAGAAACAGTCTTGTACTGGGTAGATACCCAATGGTAAACTAGACTCAGATCTATGTCATGCAGGTGTGTGCTCAGGACAATCTTCAGAGAGGTTACTCGGATAAGCATATTTATATGTATATCCGAATCCTTTGTTCAGACAAGGTCAACTCAAGGATGCTTGACTGTATGACAACCCTAGAACCACTCAGTGTGCTCAACAAAATCACCCTTGCTTGGGTCCAGAAAAATCGGACTCAGAAATGAGACGGAATGGAGGTTCTGCAGCAAATTAGATGAAACTACCAAACAAATAGTCTCCGAATGTGACGCTCAGGTTTCTGGAACCTCATGAAATACAGCATGTCTGTCCTGAGTGGGTTTGCGCCTTTCTTGAAAGTCTTATGAGGAGGATAGCACAATAGGCACACATGTGCGTCTACGTGCTGCCTGTAAAGGTTCCCCTTCCAAAAAATTCAATCAATGGTTCTGGTTAGCAACACACTTTGGAATATTTGCTCACATTGGTATTGTTTAATGTGTTAAAGATGGCCAAGTTAACAGATGTAAGTAGTTTTTGGTTGCTTGCCACTTACCTACTCATCAATATTCAGCTACATGTTACCAGTAGGTAGTTCACGATTTTGAATTTTTCTGAGGAGTTTATCCAGAATTTGAAGACTTTAAGGAAGAATATATTTCCAAAACTAATTTTAGATTTTTCTTTTTCCAAATCAAAACAAGTAAGTAGCAGAGATTGTCGCAAAACAAGAACATTTTTAGCATTTGAATAAGGATGTATAAGGTATGTATAAGGGGGTTTAGAAAGACAAATAGAGCCTGCACTACATCTACAATTATTATTATTATTATTACAGTTATGGGAATACCATTCAACTACTACATTTGGCAAATCTTTTTTTGGGCCCCAAGAAGAAAATCGCGCGGCAACGTCTCGTTCAAAAAACAGTGAACCAAAAATCCGAACTAAAAATCGGTGAGAAAATTGAAAAACTTTGTGCCGTGAAACGCGACACGTTTGTAAATGGTGGGCTATTGCAAAAAAAATTTTGTTTTTTTTTTCTTTCTTAATGTCATTTTACAATAAATATACGACGTTATCGGGCATTTTCAGTCGTGATATTTTGTAAAATACACTTAAAATCGGTAAGGAACTTTGATTTGGGGCAAGGACGTGGATTTTTCAATATGTAATACTAAAATTCCCGTTACCTTTCGGACCGAAATACTTTAATTCAACCCCAAAGTTCCCTACAAGGTAATCAACAAAAATAATATTGTTCTCAAAAATTTATTCCATATACAAATTCAAGAGGGGGTAATTTTAATTGGGCTTTTCACCCCCTCATTTTGTGGCCTTTTCCATTTTCGAAAACTTGAGAAGTGTTTCGGAAACAAAATTAAGGCTATAAAGGAATAAATTTCTGATTTTGGGCTATGGAAATTTTTTGTTTTATTTATGTGGTAACTACTTAAGTGAATCTTAAATAGTTATTGAATAACGGGCAAAAAATATTGAAGCACTTTGTGCAACCGGGCTATGGCATTCTTTTGTGTTAATATGTATTTTAACTGTCATTTGATAAACTGTCAAATCGGGTGAACAAGTGTTTATTTGTATTAAGAAGAAGTAAAAACGTTTATTGTGAATATTTTGCCTTCTTCTATAATGCAACTATTTGGTGTTGCCAATTGAATATTCTTTTCCAAACATATATTGCTGGTTTCCTGAACTGATGAGGAATATCCAGTGTTTGGCAAAGGGGCAACGTCTAAATCGGGTGTAGGCGTAAAAATTGACAGATTTGTATCTAGAATATCCCGTTTATATGCGGGATATTCTGGAAAATCTGCAACAAAATTACTCAATGTGGAGTCAGTCAAGTATTTATCTGAAACTTATATTTTTTTTTGCGGGGGAGAGTTGGTTTTTCGGTTAGGTTTAGTCTGATGTAGAGAACATATCAATGAGATGTATTTTACTTTCATGATGTTTATAGTAATACAGTTTGCTTTTTTTTGCGACGGAGGAAAGCTCAAAGTAAAACATTATGGATTTTTTTGAGGTACCTACCTATCATGTGAAAGTTGTGCCTATATAGGTACAGGGTGTCCAAAATACCCCCACTATTCAATTATTGTTATCTTGAAAACGGTGAGATATGGGGTCGTTTCAATTAGAAACAGTTTCCATTTTCAGTGATCATTCCTAATATACCTACTTGTAAGTTTTCAAGATATTGGGAAAAAACTGAAAATTGCTTAAAACATTTTCTCCTGATATTCCCCAAAAATTTTTTTATTTTCTTTCCTACAATTTGCCACCTTTGATGATGCTTTGACATCTGAGTCTAAATTCTAGTTTTTTTTTTAATACGGACCTGTAATTTTTGTATTTACTTTAGCAAGAAATTTAGTTGTTTACCATCCGACAATGTAGCCATACATGCCTATTTTCGAAGTTTCAGACTGAAAATTCAATCACCAACTAAAAATTGCTTAAAACATTTTTCTTAGATATCCCAAAAAAATAAAATATTTTCTTTCCTATAAAACGCCACCTTTACTTCAACAAAATGATACTTGACATCTGAGATGTCGGAGTCTAGATTCTAGTTTTTTTTTTTTTATACGGACCTGTTGAGTTTACCATCCGACAATGTAGCACACTGATTTCGACGTTTCAGACTGCAAATTTCATCATCAAACACACACCGGAAGAATTTCCTTATACGTACTTAATAATTTTCATCAATTTAGTTTGAGGTTATGTTTCTCTTGAGGTCCCAATTATTATAGAAAATTGAAAATTGATAAACGCTGGTGCTAGTGCCGCATATGTATTTTGTTCGTTCTAGGAAATAGTTCACAATAATATTCGAAATTTTGTGTATTTGCACCAGCATATTAGGAAAGGAGTTGCGCAAGATATTTATTTAAATATCTTTAAACAAAATCTCTAGATTGGTAATTATTGGCACATATCTTGCTCGGTCACCAGACCTTACACCATTGGATTTTTCTATAGGTTGTAGGCATAGTATAAATGTAGGTACCTTGAATACAGAAAATGATTGATTTTTTCAATTTGAAACGTCGAAAAGATATCTACATGTTTGATAAAGGGTGAATGCCAAAGATGGCATTCTGTAGCAAGGAAAAATCAATATGATGAAGTTGATAGAGAATACCAGGGAAAAACATTTTGAGAAATTTTTAGTTTTCAGCCAATATCTATATCAGGAATGATCGCTGAAAATGGATTTTTCTCCCTAATTTAGCCGACCTCGTATCTCTTGGCAAGACAGCACGAATAACACCTAAATTTCAATTTCTTACATGCTTCAAAATGGGGTTAGTTTTGGATTAACTCAAAAAATCGAAATTTAATTTTGAATGTCTAACACAATAAATTTTGAATCAATACAAACTGGAGACCAAACATTTCAAAGGCAACCCTGCATATTTAGAAAACGGTAATTTTCAATTAAAAAATGGATACAAGCTTGAAATAATAGTTCAAAGTCTTCGATTTGATTAAAAAAAATTTGGGGTTCCCCTTTAAATATTGATTTATTGACTTTTTCTGCCAGTTTTTTTTCTATTGAAGAAAAACCAAGGGGTCTATTCAAAATTCGGCCAAAAAAATCAAATTAGTAGAATACATTTTTTTTCGAATTATTATTCAATAATTATATTAAGTCTCGCATGATTAATTTCATTATAGAGTAGAAATCAAACGAGTAGAAGCCACTGTCATCAGCGCTGACAAAGAAAGCAGATTTCCTTTTCTCTGCGTCCCTACCATTTAAAGTGAGACAAACGATAACCCGTGTGGCTTCTTCTCGTTTGATTTCTACTCTACAGGTGTCCAGCTCTTACTGGAATCAAAATTTAGTTTCCTCAAATAGATTTTTTCTTTTTGGTAGATAAGATGATATGCCTTTTTTAAGTACTTGTTCTCATATCCAAATTCAACTTTATAAGTCATTGTCAATTACAATTTTGAAAAACATCTTTGAAGCAAATTTACCTAAACAGCTTACCTTCATGGTGACTTTCTTAATGGGAGAATTGAAGTGGTCATTAAGATCCCCAGATTTATGCTTACTTGATTTTTTTTTTTTGGGGCTTGTATCATTATTTTTGATATTCTTTTAAAAATCGTGAATTTTTTGCGTTAGAATAGTGATGTTCTCGTCTTTTATTTGAGCCACCCTCTGTCCTCCGTCCAAATCGAAAATCCACCAGTCAGACTAGATCCTAACCGTCAACCAATTCGTTCTCGAAAACCAAGAGGAAAATTTTGAAATTTTACAATATGACTGAACCAAAATGCGAGAAAATGATTTTTACGCACGCTCACTAAAATGGATATTTTACACGTGCAATTGTGTGTCAGTTGTGTGTAAAATATTTGTTTATTTTTAGTCACTTTTATGGGAAATTATGGTCAACCTTAAGGTTGTTTATAATAACTATTGTATGTATTTTTTTTTTAAATAACTATTGACTATTAAGTGGCTATGGGGACGGATTTCAATTTTTCAATCACCCGAATAATTTGAATTTTTCTATTTACAAAGGAACAATTTTATAATCTAAATGTAAGTAATAAGAATTTATGTAATGCCAAAATGGATTTCACATAAAATTAATGGTGATTTATTAAAAGAGAAATCCGCCTTATTTTGTGGGGGGCATATTTACAAAAAGGCTTGCTTATTTTGTATTATTTACACGGAAAATTCAAATTAAAAAAAATTCATAAAACCACATTCTGTACAATAAACAATTTGATCTTTTCTTATATCCAAAATATTATTTTGCCAATTTTAACAAATTAATTTTTAAGTACTTTTAGGAAAAATTTTTGTCGTTGAAAAAATATTTTGTGTATCCTCATTCATACATCACGCTCACGAGATTTATTTTAGTTTTTTTAGAAAAATTTATTTTGTACTTTTTTAACTTAAGAAAAACATTATATTTGTTTTAGGTAGAGCAGATTTGTTTATTAATGGCTAAAATTTTATTAACATAATTTCTCTGCTACATATTTTTAATTATTTGTATTTATCTGTTAAACAAATAATAATTACAAATGTTAATAAAGAGCAGAAACATTATAAAAACTAACTAAACTTTAGCCATTAATGTAAAATCTGGCCTTTTAGGGGGATTTGTTAATTTAGCCTTGATAATATCTAATTAATTAATTACTACCCCCAATTAAATATTCATAATAATTTTTTTTTTAATAATAATAATAAACAAAAAAATATATTTAATAAAAATCACAGTAAAAAATTGCAAAAGAAATAAAAATTGAATTACATATTGCTAAAACGTACATCAACCGGCCAAAAACTTTCTTTTATTTTATCAATCACAGAAAATCAATATTTTAAAAAAAAATTGTTCCTAAATATTTCTTTTGACTTCAATTATTATAGTCAAAATCTTCTATAGTTTTTTTTTCATTCATTCAATATAATTAATATATTCTAAAAACAATTAATAGATTATATTTACAACCTAATTATTCTTAACAAAACAATATCTTTAGTTTAGTTTTGAAGATATTTTTTCGTGTCTAAATAGAAATTTTTCAACACTTATAATCTATACATTCTTAAAAATGATTTTTATTTTGTAGTCGTACACTTTTAAAGTGTATTAGATAAATATATTATATATTTTTTCAATGCCTTAGGCATTGTTACTTTTCTAAAATAAATACTGAACATCAACTTTAATTTTGTTTAAGAGAAAAAATATATGTAAACTAAATGTTAAGTTTCTTTTTGGCACACTTTTTTTTATTTGTTTAAAATAAATTTGTATTTAAATTTACCAATTGAAAAAAAAATTTGAATCTTGAGATTTTCTATTCAAAATCTATATAATTTGAAAAATATTCTCTTTGAAATTCTATTACAAACTCATTCCTAATTATGAAGAAATATTTTGGCCCCTATTTAACAATTTTTCAACAAAAAGCCAATAGAGTTTCTAACAATTCTTATTATGATTAAATTTCCATTTTTTTTGACTTTTCGTTTAATGGTTTCAATGCACTCCTTCTTCCTTTCTCTCAACTTCTAGAACCACCAATCTCCAAGAAAACATAAAAAAGTTCGAAAAGATCCTTTTCGAATTTTTGGTGCTTAAATTACGAAACAAATTTTTTTATTACTTGAAATTGTTGGGCTTCAAATGATCAAAATTTACGGTAAAATTTAATAGTACGGGATACGAGGCCTATTTCATAAAATCATTTTAAACACATAGGGAACATGATGCTGAAACGCACTTGCGCAAGTAAAAAGATAAGAGTGGGGGATTTCGCTGATAAAAATGTTTGAGAAAATGTCGTCATAAACGAGGAAAGTGTATAATTATACACCGTCTTGCATTTCTATTCCTTAACATATATTCTTTCGGCGGACATAAGCATGAAGTGGTGTAATAGTTATTTATATTACTAGTACGGTATGAGCTTCATTACAGTAACGAGTGGGGAATATTGCCACGACGAGGTCGTAGACCGAGTCCTGGTAACCACACGAGTGTTGTAATGAGCCTTAACGTACGTGTGATATACAACATTTTATCTACGACCTCCACAATAGGTGACTATTTTCGTTTAAGTCTTTTATAAATAACTATTGTGCACTCGATCTTCTAGTTACATCAAAAATAATGACCTCTCACCGCACTAGTGCTATAATGAACGCGTTATGATTCATTACCGCACTAGTGCGGTAATAGGGTAATAGGGCTCATTACATAACGCAAATGAGCAAAAATTAGTTACTTATTGTGCAGGTCGCAGATAAAATTATTTTTCACTTCCTCATGACCCAAACTAACCCAAAACCCTCATGAAAACGTCTTGCATAAGTTTATCCAATTTTGTTTTTGTACAAATCAACTTGATAAGTAAATGCAAGACGGTGTATAATTATATATTTTCCTCGTTTATGACATTTTCTCAAACATTGTTATCAGCGAAATTCCCCACTCTCATCTTTTTCCTAGCGTAAGTGCGTTTCACCTCCATGTTATCTAACTGACGATAACAATGCAAGATGGTGTAAAATGATTTGATGAAATAGGCCTCGGATCCCGTACTATAAGGTTTTGCTTTTTGATTGAAATTCAGTAGTTGAATAGAGGCCTAAATACACGCTTCAAAATATGCGGCGTCGATTGTTTAAAACTTTCAAGAGAATATCTTTAGTTTTGATGCTTTACAGATTATTTTGTGATTTTCCAAAAAGGCCGCTTTCAATGCTTAGAAGATTGTTCGACTCACAATCAAACTATGTAAAAAAATCTCAAAAATTCTAAAATAAAAAACCTCAACATTATTTCGCTAAGTTGCATGTTCAGTAATAACTAAACTCTCACGGTTGATTCGAATTATTTTGCTGACCTTGATTTGGTTGTTGCTGTTGCGGCTGTTGCTGCTGCTGTTGCGGCTGTTGCTGCTGCTGCTGTTGCTGCATAGTGTTCTGCAAGTTCTGCTGCAAATTCTGTTGCAAATTTTGCTGTAGATTTTGCTGCAAACTTTGTAAATTACTAGCGCCGCCCAAATTGAAACCTAACGATCGGGGATCGCTGCCGTGTAGCCTCAAGGCCTGTTCGAGTCTTTGTTCTTGCAGCCTTAACGCTTCGGTGAGATCGGGACTGAGTTGTTGAGAAGTTTGAGCTTGGTGACCTTGGTAGTGACCTTGAATTAACAGGAATGATAAATTGATATAAGAATTATAGGGTTGAATAACATAAAACATAAAAAAAAATAAAACAAAACTTACTGATAAAAGAAGGGGCTCTTCTATTGCCAGAAAGATTGAAGATGTTTTTCTACAAATACAAATAAAAAAATAAAAAAACAAAACAAAAAAAAAACAACAAAATACATAATTTATGTAGGGCATAGTACAGAATAATATATATAATATAAATGTGCGAAAAGTCGGTAGATACCTCAAGGAATTGAGTTGCTGGAATAAATGAAATATATTTTTCTTTCATTTTCACTTCAAAGCTGTTTAATAGATAAATTGCTATCATAGCCTGTTAAGTTGTGAAATACAATGGAACGTAAGGTGGAATCTGACAATTCAAGTTGCAGATGCTGTGAGCTGGACCCCAAAATCTACCAGTTAAATGATAGTAAGTTTGAACATTGTTGCAATCACTGAAGGAAACATAATAGATTATATGAACCAACAGCTTAATATTTCCGACGTTAAATGTTTTATTCTGGACAAAAACGAAGATGTAGTATCAATCAAGATAAGGGTCAAGGAATCACTCTTGAAGGGCCTGCTGAAGCCTAATCTCCTGCTAAAAAATTTCGAGCCCTATATATAATGTTGGGTCAGCGAATTTTCAACAGCGCAATTTGTGTGACACTCAATCAAAACAGCAGAGGCCTAAAAACAAAGCTTAAGGACTTGTTCTGCACTCACTTATTGAATCATATTCTGTCATTGCATTCACTGAGACCTGGTTGGATTCCTCTGTTGATGATTCCGAGTTTCTGGATTCATCATGCACTGTTTACGGTACTGATCGAATTCAGATCGAAGTGCCATTAATAGTACAAAAGGTCATGGTGATGGTATCTTACTCGCAGTAAAAAGCTTCTTGAAATCCAACCTACTGTCAATTGGAGATTCCATAATCGAAGAAGTTTGGATATCTATTGTAAAGATGTGCTCATTCACCATAATGTACAGATCTTAAGATATACATATAGTAAATAAGAATAACTCTATATTAGATCTTTGTTTTGCCAACTTTGACCTAAATTTGATTGAGGAATTTGTTGGTTTAGTAAATTGTGATCTGTGTCATGCCGTGTCGATACTGTCAATAGAATTTAGGATAACAAATTATTTGAAAACTGCTAATAGCTTTTTTAACGAGTCCGCTGATTTTGAACTAATGAATAATTATTTTTTGTCCTATGATTGGTTATTGATTTTAAACGAGAATTTAGAGATTACCAGAAATAACTTTCATTCTGCTGCCTTCAACTGTTTTGATTTGTTTGTGCCTGCTGTGTCGCTCTAACGACAAATTTTCTATCTGGTTTTCAAGTGAATTGAAATCCCTAATCTTTCAAAAAAAAGCTCACAAAAGGTACAAGCAGTCAAATACGGTTAGTGATCACAGCAGATTTTCTCTGTGGCGTGGACAATGTTCATCCTTATCCAAGGAATGCTACAGTCTTTACATAGCAAAAACAGATCCTTTTGGAGCTTTACTCGTTCGCAATCAAATCCTGAGGAAATGCGTTTTGGCTCGAATAAGGCTTATAATGGTTGTGACATAGCCAACCTCTTTGCTCAATTTTTCTCTTCAGTTTATAACCCTACAGCAATAAGAAAGAGGGCCTTGATAGAATCCCAAACAGAATATTAAAGATTTGCTCTCACTCCCTGTACCTCCCCCTTTATTACATATTTTCGAAGTCCCTTACCTCTGGAGTGTTTCCAAAACTCTGGAGATTGTCATATGTTTGTTCCATCCATGTTACTAATTACAGACCAATCAGTATTCTCTCAGCTATACCTTAGCTATTCGAACACTGTATTGAAAGAGTTTTGTCGGGTACGTTAGTCTCCTACTCTCAAAGTTGTCCGGCTATGACATTGGGGATTTCGATTTCTTGGTTGGAGTCATATTTATCAGGTAGGGTTCAGCAGGTAAAAGATGATGGTAATCTTTCGACTGAGTTTCTTGTTACATCTGGGGTCCCTCAGGGATCTCATTTGGAACCTCTGTTATTCAGTTTACTCATCAATGATCTAGGTAATCTACTTTCCTCTAATTTTCTGATGTTCGCAAATGATTTGAAGATATTTCGGGAATTATCATCAACTCCCGCAAAATGATCTAAATATTGTATATGAGTGGTGTAAAATCAACGACATGTCATTTGATATCGACAAATGCTGCTTTATGTGCTTCACTCGCCTGAGAATTTCTATAACTGCGGAATATTCCATAAATAATCTTGCTCTGACTGACGTACTGAGGTGTTTTTTGTCAAGGACCTTGGCGTTTATTTGGACACCAAACTTATGTTCGTAGAGCACATCGAGTATATAATAGGTAAGGTTAATAAATTATTGGTTTTCTTTAAAAGAACCAGCAAGGACTTTATTGATGCATTTGCTTTGAAGGTGTTGTATACGTCGCTGGTTAGATCCATTTTGGAATTTTCAAACATAGTTTGGTCACCATAATATTAGGTTCATATACACAGACTTGAAAATGCCCTACCTAAATTTATAAAATATGCTTAATATACTTCTTTGCAATGGCATTGAACTTGATAATGATCAGAGTACCTATGTTATATCTGGATTTAGCATCTCTCGTCTGGAGAAGAGAATACCATGATATATGTTTCACATTTAATGTCTTGAACCATTGTATCAAGAGTCCGGAATGTTTGGAAACATTCCGGATTTGTATACCTTGCTATTCAACACGTACCAGGGCCTTGATGCATATACCAATTTGCCAATCTTGGTACTTGTTGTATAGCTCTGTCAATAGAGTGCGCGAATATGTATATAATTTTGTGAGAAATTAGACTTTTTCAACATATGAGATTCAAAAGTGGCGCAAAAACTGTAAACTTGTAAATGTCGATACGTTGAATAAATAAATAAATCAGATGCCTTATTTCTGCAGAAAGAATCTTAGCTTGGTACATGAATCATGAAATAAATATTTTCACACTCCACTCAGATGTCATTTACTATTTTGTTCCATTGACCATAACTTGAGCAGCTGTTGTGAAGAAACTGACATGCATACAAACATTGTCAAAGAGACGAAGACATGTATAGATATTTTCCTTGAAGTCACAAATTAATAATGATATATGGACAGAGAACAATGTTGACAAAATATTTAAGACAAACAGCTATGCAGGGGATAATGCTGAATGCTGAGCATGAGACTCTCCGACAAGAAGAGAAACATTAAGAAAGAGGCGAAAACCATGTTGCAGGATAACATTGAAATTCACGGCATCTCAAATTGAATTTCGCAGAAGAGCTTGTAAAACAGAGAGATTACAGATGGAACTGGATATGTTGGACACAGATCAAGAATCACACCGCAGATTGCACTGGAAACAAGTGGTTCAGAATGGGAGCGGCATATATCGAAAGATGAAAGAAGAGAAAAAGAAAATTGCGTTGTCTCGCTTATGTTATGAGGAGTGTATAATAATGCTCATTTGTAGTGTAAAAATGTAGATAACTATTATCTCTTTACGATTTATAGGATGAAAGCTTATGTCGGCAACAGCTAGAAAAGCTACACTTTATTTTTTTCCAAGATAGATTTTGACATTGAAAACTTTGAAACATAAACAATAACGCTTGACCCTGATTGGTCGCAAAATGAGGTGTTTCTGCAGGTTGACATCAGTTTTACAATAGCGGCCAATAAGTGGCATTAGCAGCATTGTTTATGTTTCAAAGTTGACAATGTCAAAATCTATCTTGGAAAAAAATAAAGTGTAGTTTGTTACTACTTTTTCATTGTCTGTCGAAATGTTAAGCACAAACCGATAAAAAAACTTTTTTGCTAAACTCAAATCAATAAGGTAAAACACCCCCTTTCCGCACATGAAAAAAACAAACCGAAATTCTCACCGTTATGGCGTAAAGGACTATGATTATTCTCCTGCTGATGGTGTTGATTGAGCTGCGACAAACCCTGAGTCATGGCCAGCCTCAAGGCAGCCTCCGCTTGCGAGCGAATCACTGCCTCCTGAACGCGCAGAGCTTCCTGAGTGGCTACCGAGTGCTGCGCAGATTGCTGCGACGCTTGCGACATGTCCATGACAGAGTTGCGCATAACGTCCATGCGCATACTGTCCATTGAGGCGCGCATCGCGTTCACTGCGTTCATCGATAAGGAGGACAGTGCTTCGTTTGTTATTGGCGGCGTGGCAGGATTTGAGGAGTTGTTTACTTGGTTGGCCTGTAAAGAAGTTTGTAAAGTAACCAAAATGTTATGAAATTGTTTCTTACTTGTGTTACTCCTAATCGCATAGCAAGATTCGCTATATTGGCAATATTAGCTGCAGGATCTGAACCTAAACCTGGCGGTACGCCACCTTGGCCGACCATATTGGCTATTACGGCCATCCTATTGGCTTGCAATTGATCTTCCATGTTGTATTGTTGATGAAGACCGTTGTTACCTTTAAAATAAAAATGTAGTTAAATAAAAGTTTTTTTGATTAATTGGTTTGACTTACTTCGTAAAATATCACCTAATTTCGTATTGCAATTATTATTGTTATTGTTCAATCCTCCTGCTTCGGATCCGGCTGAAGACAATCGGCCGTTACCTGAAGAACTGTCACTGTGTGCGCTGGGTGATGCGCACATCGGAGATCCGCTCGCTGGAAATAGGTCTAATTGAAATTGAATATAGATTAATTGAAATTTAAAACGAAAAAACATAAAATAATACGAAAAAAATCAAACTTCAGAGGTACAAAATTATGTTTTCCATGCTCTACGAATATGCAATTTAATCCTCTTCCATACGATTTATAACTTAAAAAAATTAAAAAATTACCTGGTCCCATTCCAGCTAAACCCAATAAACTGCTGCCTCCGGCTGAAGCTGATACGGCAGCCAATAAAGTTTCTCGTTCCCGTCGTTCTGCGGCTGCGCGCGAGAGGACGTACTGCGCAGCGAATTGATGTTTCGGGTCCATGCGCATATGTTCCATGTGGGTTAGTAGTCCTGGTGATGGGTGGAAGAGATTAGAAACATTTTAGTGAGAAAGATCTTGATGCGTGGGACATGAACGAATGATGGAATATTTTCGGCGCGTAGGTAGTTATTATACAGTGTGTCCCAATAAATAATCATATCTATTTTTTCGTTCACAGATTTTTTTCTTTAAATACTTACCTTGAGGAAGTGAGTGAGAATGATATCAAATATGTTTTTTTGCAAGTTTTTGTAGGCTTTAGGCAGTTCTTGATTTTGATAAAATACCATATCGACGTCGACTTTGTATACAGGGTGTCCGGAATAACTTGAAGTACAGTTGTGAGCATTGAAAGTGGACACCAGGGGGCGGATTACGAACTCTCGATTCGAACCGAAACCGCCATGGATTTCGAACGCACTCCATGCTAATGCATCAGAATGCGTTTGAAATTCATGGCGGTTTCGGTTCGAATCGAGAGTTCGTAATCCGCCCCCAGATTTTTCCTATTGTAAAACGAGCTTACCAGCTATACCTACGGCAATGACATTGGGATTGTCATATTTGACAAAAAAATCCATTGTAGAGGAAATACTGGTTCACCCAAAATAACGAAAAATCACAAGACCTGTCAGTCAAGTGTCCCACTTTCAATGCTTATGACTGATACAGGGGGATCAAATCGGGAAAAAGTTGCGCAATCAAGTGCCTACAAACAATCTGTCATAAACATCTTTGAACTCAGAATAGCAACGGATATACATTGCATATTATCGAATCCTTTATATCTTGTTTATTATAAAAGATACAATCAAGAAATTTCCAGAGTAGGTGTAGGACTCGATATACTTGTACCTGTAATGTACAACACAAGGATTTTATAAAACGCACTTTTTCTCCATTTGGTCCACCCTGTATCTTCAATGGTTTCCAAAATCCCCATGTACTTATTGTTAGTTATTCCGGAAACCCTCTAGACAAAGTCGTCGACAATATTTCAGCAGTCAAAGTAATGTGTACGATTTTCAAGAAGGTTCCCTTTTTATTTAACTATACAATTTTTAGTAGGTACTTATAGTAGATGTTTGCAGGGTTGGTAAGTCTCTAAATATTTTGGCATTACTAGTGGATTGTTGCGTTTGACATACTAGCTTGAAATACTTGAAGTCACATACATACCTTTAGGAAATCTTGAAAATAAATCTACATAATCCTAATAAAAAAGTGATTCACTAAAGATATTTTACTTTCATTGATTTTTTTTTTGAAAACTTGACTCCCTGATACTTCCTCTCATAATCATAACTAAACCTGGACGAACATCATATTTGGGACACACCGTATAAACCATATATACAGTCCACATATGTGTATCAGCCAAAAACTGAAAGAGAAACAAATAGAAGAACAGAAAAACATGCAAATAAAATGTTCTACAAATTTTGCCAAAAAATTTCAAAAAAATAAATAAACATTTGTCACGACATCAAAAACATAGGTGAAAAAGAAGTGCCAAAAATATTTCTATACAAATGTAAACGCGGTGAAATAATATTCCATAGGGTAGTGAGGGTTGCGTTTTTTTTTTCTGAAGGGCCCTTACACATATGTGGACCAATTTTTCCCTAAATTTAAGGATGGATTTAATACTGAACTTGAACTAAGGTAATTTAAGTTTAAGGGTGACTTCAAGTCCGGGAAGGTTTTATCATAGAAATTTTAGATTCGGCTTTATTCGTCATTGAACATCTTGTACTTGAAGACAAATTTCTGTTTCAAATTCGGTATTAAATTGGTTTTTGAATTCTTGAGTCCTCAATACCTGATTCATGAGTAAAAACAGCCTGGCAAACAGAGCAAGGCCACATTCTGAGCGAACTTGACAATTGTGACGTTTCCGGATGACAGGCCAAGTGTTTTCTGAGCGAACCTTCGTTAACATAGTGTTTTCCGCAAACGGGACAAGGATGGTTCGCTGTCCTTCTCTTTGCTAAATAAGGATCGATGGCGTCAACAACAGAAAGAAAAAAAGATAAAGCAAAGCACCCCAGGAACCTTGATCAAGAAGCAGTTAATTCATTATTAATAAATGTATATTGTTTTTTTATATTTTGGGTTAGTACAGTAAAATCACCTAATTATTGGACAAAATGGCAACACTGCAAATTGCGTTACAGTGTTATCACTCTGTATATCGATATAATAGAAACATTTTTTTATTTTCCCAAATTTAGGGAAAATTCGTCGCGACAGCAACCAACAACACTTTGTGCAAGGGCAGCTTTAAATAAATAAATAAACAATATCAATAATAATAATAATAATAATAATAATAACAAATTATATCGATATGAAACTGTCAAAAAAAAATAACCTTGGGTATAATTTTTTTGACGGTTATTTATGCTACTAAAGGCCGGTTTCTTCTTCAAAAGGGTTTCAGTTTTGTTAGTTTATTCTTCGGTTAAAATAAAAATTTGATACTACAAAATTTTCTTTTTCATTTTGTGAACTTATTAGGTTTGTTCCAACACGTCAAAAACCAACACATGAACGGTTTCGAAACCACTCTGTATACGAATTTTGGGTTCTACGCATATATTTTTGGCTTTGCGCTTTCTTGATCTGTTGGAACAAAGCTATAGTAGCTCAACAGAAGAATAAAAATAACAAACTAGAAACAGGTAAAAAAGAAACCATCAACCCTAAATATTAGGCAAGTAAATAAGGGGGAAAAGGACCGCTTACAAAGCAAAACAAAGTAATAAATAAATGAAAATAAAACGTGCATTCATGCAATATAATACTATAAATAACAAAAAAATTAATTCTTGGGTTGAATAAATAATTCCATTTTCTAGATGGAACGATCCGAAAAGAAATACTGAAAAAGAAAGTTAATTCGCGAATGATTAATTATAAATCGGGGAGCGTGTCTAGAGAGCACTTAAAAATATAAAAGGGTTTTTTTTTTCGTCATCGTTTTGGGAAATCCATTGAGGGAGTTGAAAGCATTTTTGTTTGATGCTTTTTTACTGTTATGTCATGTTTATTTTTTAATTTGGATTTGTTTTTAAATTGGCTGGAAAATATTCATTTTCTTTCAAGTGATTTTTTTGCAAGCACAATTTTACCAGAAAATTGCACATTTTCGTTAGATGCAGAAAAATTCTGAAAAGTGATGCTTTATATGAGATTGTTTGCATTCAATCAATCAATCATATCAGGAAAGTGGTATAGTTTTTCCAAAGTCAATTGAAACAAGGCGAACATAAATCATAACTGGTGGCTGTGCATTTCTTATTGAAATTTCTAGTGACCAGTCAGCTACCAGTTGGTACCTTGTTCCAATTGAGTTTGGAAATACTATACTCATTTTCTAAAAAGCGTACCTAATTCAGAGTAGTAGGTATCAACCCAAGAATAAACAGAATGAAAATCATCAAAACAAAGCTTGCAATAAATTAAAAACCTATAAATACATCTACAATCTACAACCTTTTCGTTAGCGAGTTAGTAATAAACAACAATTCAAAACTGGTTCCAAAATATTCCTAGAAAATTGTACTTTCGATACAAGAAAAGTTGCATTTATTCTGCAAATGCGATAGACGAGGCGAGATGATTGGTAAATTGGTAATATCTTTGGGCATTACAACATGGTAATCGATCAGTGCCCTTGTTCTACATCTACGCTTTTATGAGGGAAATAAAAGGTAAATTTAAGAGCTTGAAACAATAATATGAACCTTTTCAATTAGCAATTATATATGTTATAAAATATTATCATTGGAGTGATTATAAGAAGCTTTCACAAGGTAACCATTTTCATAGAACACTTTTACAAACGTTACAAAACAGCTTTGTAAGCATTTTCGTAACTTGTCCAAAACCTTGATATCATCATCATTATGAAGTTATTCTAGTAAAGATCAGAACCTATTATGGAATAAATTTGACTGTAAGTATAGGCACTTTTCGGAGAGCCAAATAAAGTTGACCTTTCATATCTGGTCGTAAAAATACTGGGTGAGGTTTTTCTGAACTCACATGTAATACACATTTATCACTTATTAATTTTTGGAATTAATTTCTCGTTATGTTGTGAGTTATTGGAACCAATTTTGGTGAGTATATACTTATTGCCGCCTATAGTCTACAATCTAAAGCCTAAAAAATGTAACATGCTCCTAAATCATCATGCAAATATATCTAGAATAAATAGATAAAGTCAGTACTTACTGGCTACCCCTGAAGCGTTGGGGTCCTTGTGGGTATGCTTCATGTGCTCCATCAGAGCCTCTCCGCCAAGGAATACCTTGTGGCAGAGCGGACACGACGTGGCATTCGGACCGCCAATCAGAGCCGCATGTTGCTGCAAACGACCAATACACTGTTGACAAAAGTTCGCGTTAATTTTTGAGGGAACAAACTTACTCCTCGAATTTTTTTTTTTTTGGGGGGGTAGTCACTGAGGGTATTGTGGTTTTAGGGGTTGTTTTCTAGGAACAGGTGTTGAAACGATGTTTTTAATACCATAGAAACATTTGGAATTGAGAAAAGTTACTTTGAATGATTGATTTCTAGCACTTATTTTGAATTTTCAGCACCCCTATACCATTAGTAAATATACTAAGCCACTCCTGCACCACTCGGTGACCTTGGTGTTAAGGTTGAAGTCTTAAGCTGAAGACGTCACTTAAAACCATAGGGTTGAGATAATAAGGGATGTCTTCAGCAGATTTCTTCAGCCATCCTTTATTTCTGGAAACCATCTGAAGGTATCCCAACTTTATGGTTTCTTATATTAATTGATGGCTGAACAACCTTGTCAACAATAACATTGTGTGTGATGTAATTAGAAATCGAGAATAAACAGCGGATGTTGATGTCAGCTATCACTTAAGAGACCATTCAGCTTAAGACGTGATGTGTTCAGCCTTAACATCACGATGGTCACCCCTGATGGACATGCACTTGGGAGAAGAAAAGTAGAGTTGAAGTTATATTGATAAAATGAGACGTAAGTAGAAACAGCTATAGACAAAATGGAATTTTATGTAGGTATATTTTGTCTATTGCCTGGATTATTGTAGATATTGTCACAACTTTATCCTGTCGTGACGGGGTACGTAGGGTAGGGTCAGGAAGACAGAGACCCGCTTAGTATTTAGTGTAAGGTATATTGTAGAGTAAAGGTTATAATAATTAGTAATTTCCAAAGGATAGCCCTATGGTACATTGTGCCTCTTTTATAGGAACACACGGGAGCTACCTGAAAAACACAAAGCTACGTTAGGAACGATTCGTTAAAATGAAAGGCCGTCCAGAGGGGCTTTCTCAAGAGGTAATTGCACTGAACGACACGAAGACTGAAGACACCCAGAGGAGCTTTCCCAAAAGAGGCATTGCGCTGGGTGAAGACTTGAGGCCAGAGGAGCTTTCCCAAAAGGGGTAATTGCGTTGGTTCAAGTTTGCCTATTTGTGTAATGCCGACCATTATTTATATTTGTTTATCGCTAATTCGCTAACCAATAAATCGATCAATCATATACAATGTCATATTTCCCGTAGCTTTGCCTGTTGACAATGTAAATGTCAAAATAAAGTTCACCAGTCCTTTGGTCCTTTGAACCAACCCCAACCAACCAATAGCTTACAGGCCCAGATTCCCAGAAATATAAAAAAAATTAAATTAAGTATTGGAAAGTGGACTTGGCTAGTAGATATGTCACAATGTCTGTGAATAATCATTTCAACGTTGAGTTGTAGATTGCATTTGAAGTCGCTACAGCTTGTTTCAGCCTCTCAAGCACTGCTACTGCCTTTATACCCACGAGTTTGCGGTAAATGGTTGTTTCAAGTTAGTCTGCGGTCCAGGGTGACCTCTAGATACTTAACTTTGACTCTATCAGAGAGAGATAATTGAGTGCCGTTTCGAGTGAAGGCAGATCCAGCTTCCTCCTTTTCGTAAACGAAACTAAGGTTATTTTGCTGGGCTGGGATTTATGGAAAGACCTTCTTTGTTGAGTTACTGAATGGATTAAATTACGACACATGGAAATTTTGCAAATTGCATGAAAACTAGAGAATTTGGGATTGGAATTTTACCGCGCAATAGTCAAGCGACAACTGAGGCTAAGGGTTACTGATAAATAGAATTTCAGTCGGATAATTAGTGGAGCGTGAGTCGATAGTGAGCCAGCGAGTTGTGATTTAGTTTCGTTACTAAAATGCGATCTTGCAAACAAATTCACTTGATACAAACAATTATTTTTAAAGAAAGCTCAAGTGTTTATCTCTTTATTGTTTCAAATTTTTAAATTAAAGTAACCGAAAGCGTGAAGATTTTTAATATTCCTGAAATCAGAACTAATTACCTAAAGTCAGAAGAAGAAAAGGCAATACAAAATGTATGTAGGAAGTATGCAGACATTTTCCATTATCCAGACATGTCCCTGACCAAACACCATATTAAAACAAAAGATGAGATTCCAGTGTACACATAGATATCCACATATCCATGGAGAGGAAGTGAAAAACCAGATATCTTCCATGTTGGATCAAGGAATTATCAGACCAAGCCAGTCACCTTGGTCTTCCCTTCCCCGATATGGATGGTTCCAAAAAAAAACAGACGCCTCCGGAAAAATAAAATTGCGGATAGTAGTGGACTATAGGAAAGTAAACGAGAAAACTATCGACGATAAATACCCAAACATAGCAGACATCTTGAACAAAATTGGTAGATGCCGGTACTTCACGATCTTGGATCTAGCAAGTGGCTTTCACCAAATCGAAATGGCTTTCAATGTCGAAAAGGGCCATTACGAGTATGTCCGGATGCCGTTTGGCCAAAAAATGCTCCATCTATGTTCCAGACGGTGATGGATAACGTTTTGAAAGGCCTCCAAGAAGAAAATCGCTTAATGTACGATATCATTGTGTCCAGCAAATCACTTCAAGACCATCTGGTTTATTTTCTGAACATGGTAAGCAAGTGCGAAAGTACAAGTAAAAAAGGCTTAAGATGGATGTGAAATACTTTAGCTAGCGCCACCTAAAAACCCATCCACGTATTTATCTATATACACTTTCAAATCTGAAGGAAAGTTTTTACCTAATTTGAGTTAGTTAGCCGGGTTATGTTTTCCCAATTAACATAGAGTTTAGCATTTCGCAGAGGAATCAGATAAAAAAAGAGTAGCGGAAGGTAAAAATAAATTAATGGCCCCGGCAGTAGCGGAGTTGTGTCCCGAAAATTTTTTGAATTATTTTCTCTGAGAAGTTTCTTGTTCATCTACATCTTTCACAATAGTATTTGAGAAAGTATCATTTCTATTATAGATAGAATAAACATTTTCATTTCAGAAAAATCCATATGTATTTTAGATTTTTCAAATGTATTTGCGAAATATCGAAAAGTATTTCAGAAAAGTCATATGTATTTTAGATTGAAGCAATTATATTTTAGAAACACCATATGAATTATTTGAATTCAAGAAATGATAAATTGTACTTTATATTACATGTAGGTATGCATAAATACCTACAGAGATGGACATCTCTTGTCGCAAATTTGGCGTAAGAGGGGAATTTTTAAGACATCAGCCAGTATAGATGTAGAGAAAAACTACATAATTTTTAACTACGATTGAAACGATAAATACGAGATATCGGCCTTGTTTCGTTTTCATTGGCCCACCCTGTATATTGTGTGTTTTATACATATTCAGCGATTTCTTGATGCGCAGTAAGTGATTATAGATACCTATAACTATTTGGGTGCGCAGAGGAAAAACACTGTTTGGTTTAATCATTTTCGGATATTTCAAAATCTGGAATAAAATGTATTACCCTTGTTCGCCAAAAAAAAAACTTCTGAAATGTCGTTTACTGCTGGATGCTGCGCCACTGTTCATCTTAGCTGAAGCCAAGGTAATTACCTGTATTCTTTAACAGATTTGCTTGCGCATTTTTTATTAACGAGCCATATTTTCCGCCTGACGCAGAAAGAAATAAGCTTTTAATTATACGCCAGTAGAAAATAGTCCGCGAGAATCTCCTCTCCAATCTCTTGTTATGCTGCCGGGGGGTTTTTTTCAATTTTATTTTAATTTTAGGACTTTTATTTTTGGCTGTTGGCATGACCAAATCAGAAATTATCTATATCTAGTATTTTCTATTCCCATAACAGTCAGTAGTGATTGTGAACATGATCCTGTTTAGTTTACCTGAAAAAAAGATCGCTGTGTCTAGAATCCCGGTACCGGTAACACTTTTTTTACCGGTAGTTTTGATGACGTCACCCATATGACGTACTAGGTACCCGGGATTCAAGCAAATCCCGGTAAAAAATGTAGTCGTTGGCGGTTTTTGTTTTATCAAAGTCCAACCTAACCTAACTTTTTATGTGTTTGTGAGTTTATCAACGTGAAAATACTTTTAAAATGATCTTTAATATAGGACAAACATTTAAAAGTTATAAAGAAGTTGAAGAGACTTTGACATGTGAAATGTTCCAGTTTATGAAGTTTATGTAAAATACCCAAAATGTGGTAGGTATTCTTCTGATTGCAAACTTATAAATAAAAAATGAGAGATATTTATTTTAATTTACATCCTAATATCCTAAATAGTAAAGTTACATATATTGGCTTGAAGTAAATTAATAAATATTAAATTCGATTATTAACTGCTCAATAAACTGCTATATAAAGTGACATCATTTTAAATTTGTTTAAATTCTCAGGGGTTGTCGGAAATAACAACCCTAGTTCACTATCTGATTGCAGATTACTTCTAATCTGGAATGAGTGATGAGTTGTTCCACATTTCAGAACGCAAAGCATTTATATAGGGTATTTCGAACCTAAACTAATTTTTATGGTTTGAAATGTTTCAAAAAAAGTGATGAAAACATTAAAAAACTAAATTAAAATACCAATCAGCTGATAAATAACTATAAAAACAAAATCAAAACACCGGGAATCACTTAAATGCCGGTACAAGTGCGTCATATCGATGACGTCATTAAAACTACCGGTAAAAAATGTGTTACCGGTACCGGGATTCTAGACACAGCGAAAAAAGATCCATCACTCCGTCTTGAAATTGCACAAACTATAGATTTAACATTTCACATCATGACCACAAATACCAGCTATTAAAAAAAGGAGAGCAAAAGTTGGACGTAGTCCAGTTGATAGTCGTTTTTGCGCGGTGGGTTAAATTCTTTTGAATGGTCCGGTCAAAATTTGGTCAGAGATATCAACCGAATAGAAGTATTTTTGTCAGATCAGTGTATAATATTTGAGTAGTCAAGTACAGATGTTAGACCATTAGAACATCACCAAATAACGTAACAACGCTAATTATGATTCTCGAATTGGA